TTAGAATGATCTGTCCATTGGTGTAAGTGAGGTGTTAAAGTCCCTCACTATTATTTTTTTACTCTTGATTTCCTCTTTATAGCTGTTAACAGTTCCTTATGTATTCAGGTGCTCCTATGTTGGGTGCATATATATTTATATTTGTTATATCTTCTTCTTGGATTGATCCCTTGATCATTATGTAGTATCCTTCCTTGTCTCTTGTAACATTCTTTATTTTAAATTCTATTTTATCTGATGTGAGTATTGCTACTCCAGCTTTCTTTTGATTTCCATTTGCATGGAATATCTTTTTCCATCCCCTCACTTTCAGTCTGTATGTGTCCCTAGGTCTGAAGTGGGTCTCTTGTAGACAGCATATATATGGGTCTTGTTTTTGTATCCATTCAGCAAGCCTGTGTCTTTTGGTTGCAGCATTTAAACCATTCATGTTTAAGGTAATTATAGAAATGTATGTTACTATGACCATTTTCTTAATTGTTTTGGGTTTGCTTTTGTAGATCCTTTTCTTCTCTTGTGTTTCCCAGTTAGAGAAGTTCCTTTAGCATTTGTTGTAGAGCTAGTTTGGTGGTGCTGAATTCTCTTAGCTTTTGCTTGTCTGTAAAGCTTTTGATTTCTCCATCAAATCTGAATGAGATCCTTGCCAGTTAGAGTAATCTTGGTTGTAGGTTCTTCCCTTTCATCACTTTAAGTATATCATGCCACTCCCTTCTGGCTTGTAGAGTTTCTGCTGAGAAATCAGCTGTTAACTTTATGGGAGTTCCTTTGTATGTTATTTGTCGTTTTTCCCTTTCTGCTTTTAATAATTTTACTTTGTCTTTAATTTTTGCCAATTTGATTACTATGTGTCTCGGCATGTTTCTCCTTGTGTTTATTCTGTATGGGACTCACTGCGCTTCCTGGACTTGGGTGGCTATTTCCTTTCCCATGTTAGGGAAGTTTTCGACTATAATCTCTTCAAATATATTCTCTGGTCCTTTCTCTCTCTATTCTCCTTCTGTGACCCCTATAATGCAAATGTTGTTGCATTTAATGTTGTCCCAGAGATCTCTTAGGCTGTCTTCATTTCTTTTAATTCTTTTTTCTTTTTTCTGTTCCGCAGAAGTAAATTCCACAATTCTGTTTTCCAGGTCATTTATTCATTCTTCTGCCTCAGTTATTCTCCTATTGATTCCTTCTAGTGTAGTTTTCATTTCAGTTATTGTATTGTTCATCTCTGTTTGTTTGTTCTTTATTTCTTCTAGGTCTTTGTTCAACTTTTCTTGCATCTTCTCGATCTTTGCCTCTTTTCTTTTTTTGAGGTCCTGGATCATCTTTAGTATCATTATTCTGAATTTTTTTTCTGGAAGGTTGCCTATCTCCACTTCATTTAGTTGTTTTTCTGGGGTTTTATCTTGTTCATTCGTCTGGTTCATAGCCCTCTGCCTTTTCATCTTGTCTGTCTTTCTGTGAATGTGGTTTTTGTTCCACTGGCTGCAGGTTTGTAGTTCTTCTTGCTTCTTCCTCCTCCTGCTGGAATTCCTCCTCCCATTGCCGGACCCCCAGGTTGGGAAGCCTGACGTGGGACTCAGAACCTTCACTCCAGTGGGTGGACTTCTGTGATATAAGTGTTCTCCAGTCTGTGTCACCCACCCAGCAGTTATGGGATTTGATTTGACTGTGATTGCGCCCCTCCTACCATCTCATTGTGGCTTCTCCTTTTTCTTTGGATGTGGGGTGTCTTTGTTGGTGAGTTCCAGTGTCTTCCTATCCATGATTGTCCAGCAGCTAGTTGTGATTCTGGTGTTCTCACAAGAGGGTGTGAGAGCATGTCCTTCTACTCTGCCATCTTGGTTCCTAGTCCTTTTCTTATACTTTTTAAGAAACATTTATTTTAAAAAATTTTAAGTGTATAAAAGGCAAGGAGAATAGCATAGTATGCACCCATGCACCCTTCCCCAACTTCAACAGTTTTTAACTCACTACCAATCTTGTTTCATCTATACTCCCCCACTTCTCTCTTCTCATATTACTTTGAAACTAATACCAAGCATCATGTAATAATAACCATAAATATTTCAGTAGGCTTCCCTAAAAATAGACTCTATGTATTAATTTAAGACATAAAGTCTTCAAATTTCCAGTTTTCTCTTAAATTGTATATGGGTTTTCTTGTTTTTTTGAATAAGAATCCAAGCAAAGTCTATGGCTTATATGTTTTGTAATTCTCTTTCAATCTCTAGGTTCACCCTCTATTTCTTTCTTTTTAATTATTACAATTTATTTGTTGAGCAAATCAAGTTGTTCGTGGGCGTTATAGTTGCCCACAGTCTAGATTGCACTGATCGCTTCCTCACAGTATAGCTTGTGTGTTCCCTACTCCTCTGGAAATTGGTAGTTGGATACAGATGGGTGCTTGATCAAATTTAGTTCTATTTTCTAAATGTACTTCTTTCTTTAGTTAGGTAAGACTCCTTCCTTGGTGATGATATATTCTTTTATTAGGAGTTCATAATTTTGGCTGACTCTGTTTTATGAGGCCAGCAGCCATTGACATTAACACTTAGAGTCCTTAGTTTTCAACTAAAATGTTAAGTTTAACTGACAATTTTTTAAGTGATGTGACACAGATTTTCAACTGAATATCTAATATAGTAAATCTCTTAAATACTACAAATACTTAAAATATTGAACATACATATATTGTCCCAATGATTAGAAACAGATTTTTGTACCATGGGCTTGAATTACTCCATCGTTTCTGTATTTAATTCTGAATCATCCAAGATCTAAAAAAGGCTTACTAAGAAAAACAAGTGTCATGTCATGATCAATTTCACTGGGCCTTTACACTTACCTAGGTAGTAAGCTATGCATATGTGTTAAATTTTAAATGTTTGATTTTTTTAAAAAGTGAGTTTATTAGATAACAGTTTATGACCACGTATGTTTATCATCTCAGGTGGAAACTGAGACATGTATATCCATGGCAATTCTTCCTGGGCTACAAGAGTACCCACTAGCCCTTTTTTATGGTCTCAGTGATAGCAAGGCACTTCCTGCTCACATTCTTCAAATGGTGTCAATTTCACATTAGAAAGATCACTTTGGCAGCAGCATGTAGAAGGGACTTTAAGGGTAGGAAAGATGAAGAGCAATTCTCATCACTAGAAGACTGTCCAGAAGGCTACTTCATGGGTCCACACTAGCAATGATAGAATCCTGTTCTTGTGTCTAGCAGGATAGAGGAGACAGAAGGGGGAGTGCATTATAGGAGACACTAAATACTCAGAACTTGCAGAACTTACAGAACTTGATTAATTCGATGTGGGACTGTAGAAGAGTGAGAAATAAAGGATGACTTAAGGCTTAAGTGGTTAAGGGAATTGTGGTGCGATTGACCAAGGTAAGAAACTTAGTAGGAAAAACAGGTTTAGTGTCAGTGAGACACACAAATAAAGATAGATAGGAAGATGAATAGATAGATAGATGAATGGATGGATGGATAGATAGTTAGATAGATAGATAGATAGATGAGTCTGAAACTCAGAAGTGAGATCTGGGCTAGAGATTTCAACATGTAGTCACCAAGATAATATGTGAAACTATGGAGTTATATGAGAACATGAGACCATCTAGAGGCAAATGTAGAGTGAAAATAGAAATGAGGAAGCCAAGACTGGAACACAAAAGAACACCATCACTTAAAAGGGGAAGTCAGAGCAAATTAACCCACAAAGGAAATTGTGGGGTAGTGACCAGAGGGACAAGAAGTGAGTGGGAGAGATTTCTCATGGAAACAAAGGAGACTCCAGGAAGGCAAAATAGCCAATACTGTGATAAGAGCCACAAAGCAATCAAGTAGGTGCTGGCTGAGAAGTGTTTAATGGATTTGGTAATCAAATCTTTTAAGAATAGTTTCAGTGAAGGATTAGCAAGGGAAACCAGATTGTAGTCAATGAAGAAATGAGGAGGAGGAGAGCAAGTAAAGTCGGTGAGTATGGACAGTTTTTTCTACTTTGGGAAAAGGATGATGGCCTTATGGTAATGTGGAGTATTTAGAAAGGTGAAGAGAAGTGTTTGTCCTTCATGAATGAGAGTAACTTGGGCTGAGGGAGAAAACAGTAGTGAGATATTTAGGGATGGGGAGTGAAAGAAGAAGAAGAATAGTAATATAAATAATATGATGACACACAGAAGATAGCGAATAAAAGGAGTAAAATAATTGATCATTCAGATAGGATTCAGAACACAGATGGAAGGAACTTCTGTAGGGACAGGTAAGGATGGGCGTAACTGTAGATAAGCTTGGGAGTTAAAGGAATGTATTTTAAGAGAGTTCACCCCCAATAAGTGCTATTTTATCAGTGAAATAAGACACAAGATCATCTGATGAAAAGAGAAAGGAGAGGAATAGGAGATCTGAGGGAAGTAATGAACGTTTTGAATAGCAATTGGGAAGGATGATGCAAGAGAGGGTTGACTAGAAAAAAAGTGTAATGAGATTATAGAATAGTGTTGGGGGTATAGCTGAGATTGAATGTCAATTATTGGTAATATCCTAAGTCAGTAAAATGGCAATTTTCCCCAGTTATGCAAATCAACCCAAGAATAGAAATAGAAAATATAGATGGTTCCATAAATCATTAGGGATTCATGAAGCCCAGGTATTGATAGCTGTTATGAGCAGTTGGAGTGAAGTGGTTTGGAATGAAGCACCTTGGAGTTCAAGCCACAAGTGATGGAAGCAAAACCAGATGGAAAACATCTGGAAAAGGGTGATGAGTCAGGATTGGAACTAATGATCTTTGGAATCTGTACTGTACAGCCAATCATATACCTTCAGAACCCAGAATTGACTTATTGACATACTGTCCTTTTAACAGAAAAATATTTCTGCTCTGAAACTAAACTACTGATTAATTGTAGATACTCACTTTGAATGGGCAGTGCTGTGCTCAAGCTCCCCGATTCTCCATTTTTTGCAGCAGTAGTGGCATCAATACAAGGCTAAAGCCTATTCTACTGACTTCTGAAGTTTTAAATCAGAGCAGATATGAAAGAGAAGAGTTATTTTTAAATGATCCTTTTATTCTTTTTCCTTTTTCATTGTAAGGGGAGCATCTACTTGTTCCATTTTCACTTTTTCTTCTCTCTTGTTTTCAGAAGCCCTGTAAATGAAGAATATCAAGATAGTGTCATGCACTCTGATGGTAAGAGGCGAAAGACGTTTTATTTATTTTTTCCCTCCGATACGGAAGTTTGAGTTAATTATTCTCATAGGATCATTAATGGGTCATTATCGTCATTGGTCCATGCAAGACCCGTCTCTTATTTTACTTACTTATTTATTTCCTTTTATCTCCATGACCCACTCCCTTTCCTTCCTCCCCTTTACCAGAGACAAATATTCTAATGTACTTAGTGTGTGTCTTTTGTACATATTCTTTGCATGCTGTTGTATGTGTATATGTACATATTTCAATTTACACAAGCTGTATATTATAGCTCACTCTGGCCTTTTTTTTTATATTCAGCATAATGTGTTTTGGGGGGCTCCTCCATGTTATATATGTATATTTAATTTCTTTCTGTTAACTACTGCACAGCACTCCATGGTATGCATCCTATGCATTCACATTTCACCTTCAACTCGCTGGTACCACAAATAATAGTTCAATGCACCTTCTTGTCCATATCTCCATGTGGACCTCTGAGAGCCTTCCTTTATGTATATCCGGCAGTAGAGTGGCTGCTTGTAAGCAATGGCATACTCATTCCAACTGAGTAGGATTAGAGTGCTCTCCAGAAGAGCTGCATCTCTGTGTACTCCCATCACAGGGCATGAAGATTCCAAGATGCCTACCTTTCGCCAGTGCATAGTACTATGCAGCTTTCCAGTTGTTTCCAGTCTTACATGCATAAAATGATGACTTGTTTCATTTTCATATCTCTGCTTGCTGCTGAGTTCGAATACTTGATTTGTTTAATAGCCTTTGTGGTTTTCTCTTCTGTGCGTTGCCAGTTCCTATTCCTTGACCATTTTTTTCTTGGGGTTGGTATCCTTTTCTGGATGATTTGCAGGAGTTCCTTTGTATTCCAGATATTAATCCTATGTCAGTTGTAGACACTGCAAATATCTTCTCTCATTCTGTCCATTGTCTATTAACTTAGTCCATGCTGTCCTTCACTGAACATAAATATATTTTGATATAATCAAATTCATTAACATTTACTTTGTAATTTATACTTTTTAAGTTTTATTTAAGAAGTCCTATCCCTAGGAAATACAAATATTATCTTCTATGAACTTTATCCTTTATAGTTAGGTCTTTGATCTCTTTGCAGTCCACTTTTGAGGCGTTAGTAGAAATCTAGATTTGTTGTCTCATGTACAAAGCCGGCTTTCCCATTACCATACTCTGAAATCCACCCTTTTCTCATTAATTTATAATGCCACATTTACTGTATTAACTCTATTGACCCTTGAGCAGTTAAATATCTTTTTAAAATATCTTATTAACTTGCTTTGTTTGACACATGAAAGCAAATCCTTGGGAACAAGTAAGTCGAAAAGTGTGAACTAGTTGTGATTTTCTGGTAAAATCTTTGTTCCATACTGCAAGCCCACAAAACCAAACGTGCATGCTTTTCATAAAGAGAATAAAGAGTGTCTTCATTAATTTTTGGCTTTTGCATTATTTTATGAAAGTCAGTGAAATGATTTTATAATTAAATTACAAGATTCAAAAAAGCCATAGTAAGAATCTAAACTGCATATTCTATTTTGTACTTCTATACCTTTGGTAAATTATAAGTTCTGTTACATGATGAACTGTTTTGAATATTATATTACATCTAATAATCCTGTATTAAAGCACTTCTTAATTACAGTACATTAAATTGTATTCTTTTTTTAAACACTTTAGGAACTGGAAATCTGGATGAGGTCAGTTTTTTTTTCCTTCTCATATTATATTGCTGTAACTAGAATATGTAACAATTATTGTGATTCATTTTCTATTGATATAAACCAACAAATGAAAATCCTTATGAGTAATGGTGATTTTTTTCCATTTATAATCTTATTTCATCTAAAATGCTTGAGACATTAAACACCCATTATTACACTGACTCATAGTAATTTTGTAATGCTAAACATAGACTGAAGTCTGGCTACACATCTGAATTACATAGCAAGATATAAAATGAAATCTTTCTGTGCTTCCTTTTCCAGTCTGTCTCTAAAAAGGAAACAAAAATATTTTAAATAAGCCAAATTGACACACAAATGTATGCTTGTTTTACTGATTATTTGAGCAATGTAATATGTGTATGTTCCCTTATTAAATAATTACAGTTAATCATTATTAATGTTTTTCTTGACAGGAACAAGAGAGTGAAGGAGAAACATATGAAGACATGTATGAGTTACATTTTTTTACCATGATATTTTCCTTCTAAGATGAAAATAATGATTTGTATGAGGGAGAGTGGAGGGATATTCAACACTGGGAGGGAAAAGCTGTATTGTTCAAATGATGGGCATATAATGATAACCTTTATTTCAATACAAAGGACTAAAGATTCTTTTCTTGTCTAAGGATTTTACAGAGGATTCTATTAAAATGTCATCCCCGGAGAGGTCAGAGGCCTGCAGCCCACTAGATAGCCCACAGGCAGGGAATCACAGGGACCGGGAATCTGATTTCTTGCTCTCGGTGTGTCCTTGGGCACATGAATTCGTGTATACGTTACAATGTCCTCACCTAGACAGCACTTCACCTCACAACCTTGCTATGAGAGACGATTTAACACAGCACCAGATGCCAAAGTTTTAGCCTGCTAAACAGAAAGGTGTTAGAAAGGGTTCCAGAATGGGTTTCTGGGTAGCCCGAGACTAAGAAATTTCTTGGAAAATGAGTAGAAGTAGAATGAATATGTTATTTTATCTTTTGTTGATTCAAATATGTTAATTTTCCCTACCCAGTTCTTATTCAACTAATTCTGACTAAAGTTTCTGAATTAAGGTTTGTACATGTGTGTGCAAGTGCATGTATGTACGTGAACTTGTACTAGTGAGTGCATGAGAGAGAGAGAGCGAGAGGGATTAATTCTATTCATGCCGACAGGCCGCAAGAACCGTTATAAACTTTGCTTTCCACTTGCCTGCACGAGCTGTAAGGGCAGCAGAACCTTAGGAAGGCATCCTCATTTGAATGCCTCCTGCTGGTTCTAAGAACAGTCTCATACACCCAGGAATTTTGACAAGCCTTGGCTTTATACCTTCACCTATACTTCTTCACATACTATCTTCTGTTCTGGGTAGAAACCTCTCTGGATAGGGAGCCCTGACACGTCAATGCCCGTGGATGCTAAAACAAACTTACAATTTTAATCCACAGAGAAACATCCAAAGAAAGAGAGAAGAAAAGGGAAAAGGAGGAAAAGAAGAGATTAGAGCTGGAGAAAAAGGAACAGAAAGAGAGAGAAAAGAAAGAACAGGAAATAAAGAAGAAATTTAAAGTACGAGCTTGCTTGCCGAAGGGTGAAAAAGAGTAACCTCTTTTTATAACTTTCACACAAAAGGGGCACAATTCTTGAAACCTTACATGGTTGGAGAACTACTTAATCATTGTTTTCTAAAGAGTAGCTACCTTCACAATAGTAATGTTTTTGTCCAATAATCTCCTTTACCCCTGCACTAAAAAACTAATGCAATAAAGTCCAAATAAAATATGGTGGGAGCTCAGGAAATTTTATGTCGATTGAGTGAAAGAGTACTTGATTTCTCAGACCCATCTTGACCCTCCTTGTTATGCATTTCATTTTATCTTACTCATAATATGAGCTCAGGACCACACACATACACATCCCTGTGGCATGTATTATAGTGGTACGAGGGACAGAAGTGTCTCTGGATTAACCAGACCTGTCGTAATAAAGCTCCGTGAGCTACCTGATTGCTGCTGTCTAGACCTGACTTACATTTTTGCCTTTATTTTAAGCTGACCTACATTCTGACTTGATACCTGCTGTTTCTCCTCCCTCTTCATCCACCTGGATTTCTGACCTCTGTCTTCTCTGATCTCTGATTTCTAATTGTGTGATTTCTATTACTACCACCACTACCACTATACTTGCGCACTATACTCTTTTGGCCAGTACGTCTTTGATGACATGGCCCATCTGGGGTGGGTCTAGTATGTCAGCTATAGAGTGATTATCTAGCTACAAAACTATTCTTCACTATAAAAAGGATTCATATCAAGTTTCCTTTAAATATTTAATTCCTCCTGAACATTTACAATATGGTTTGAATTATAAAAATGTGGTTTATATATAATTTCCCAGTATATTGATTATAGTAAAACAAAGGTTCAACAGCAGGGCAAAGGGAAAATGTAAAGCTTAGAGTCAGTTGGACAGATGTGGATTCAAAGTCCAACTGCACATGCAAATTATGTGATCATGGGCATATTACTAAACTTCTCTGAATCTCAGATCCTTATTTTTAAAGTGAGTCAATGATACCTCTCCTGAAAGATTTTTATGGAATTAAATAAAATAATGCACGGAAGGCACTGTATCTATTATAGGATCTCATTCAATTTTGCTTACTACATTAAGCAAAATTAAGATTACAGTATGAATACTAAAATATTTTACTCATACAGAATGTATGGCTACCAATGTTTATAGTTTTCAAGTGGAAAACATGAAAAACTAATTTCTTAAATGAAAATCTTTATAACATACTTTTTATGAAGAGATTGTAGTTTTGAAGGAATGGTATGAAGCTTTCCCTTGTGGGTTTTTTTTTGAGAAATCAATTTTGCATTGTTTCACTCATTCATTTGAATAACATTTGTTAGTAAGAAAAAAATAGGATATGGAAGATATACCACCAAATATGAACTCAAAAGTTTGTCAAGACTAGGACTTCACACGCTATATTTCTTCCACAAAATGTTAATAGATGTTCCAATTAAATAAATAAATGTGAGAACTGTTACATAGCTTCACATTTCATTAATTCCAAGACAAAATATTTCACATTTTAAAATTCTGATATTAAGATGCCTTTTAACATCGTTGGCATATCAAAAATTTAACTTAAGCTATTTTCTTTCTTTCTTGGTGGTGCATAATTAATGATATGTCTCACAATTCATCACATCACAAGTTCAATAAAATAAAGTAGACCTTCAAAACTCACAATGCATATTTTCATATCAAAAGGTCCAAGAAATTCTGTTGAAAAGACCAATTTAGGATTAGGAAATGTTTAGGATTCATGGCCTCTAAACTAGATTATTCCCCTGCTGTCAAGAAAACACTGTACTATTCAGGATATTAATTTAAAAACCTCTCATAATATTTGTTTGTTATTTTTATTATTCACAAAGCTATTTCTCTGTCTACCAAGCAAACCACCAGCATACCCCATAAAAACACATAGCACCCAGCATGTCGTACATAAGTGGTATTCGGTTATCGGTGGCTTTCTCTGCAAATCTTCCACAGAGTTCCCGAGGTCAACAGATCACTGCCACTCTCTCCTGGCCCCCGAGCATGTGCTTACCTGTTCTTTGCTGGTTCTGTCTGACCTCTGCAATTTTCCCCTAACCCCTCCTCTAAGAACATTCACCAGGAATGACATTCACCCTCAACTTCTAGTTCAAACTTGTAAATGTTGGTAATAGGCAGGTTGGCAAGTGGTGGACATATTGTCTTTCAAAACCGCATTCCTTAAAGATGTTCTGAATAGTAAAGAAGCCGGTCGTGATTTTTTTTTCCTCTTTGCAGCTAACAGGCCCTATTCAAGTCATCCACCAAGCAAAAGCTTGCTGTGATGTCAAAGGAGGAAAGAATGAACTGAGCTTCAAGCAAGGAGAGCAAATTGAGATAATCAGAATCACAGACAACCCTGAAGGAAAATGGCTGGGCAAAACAGCCAGGGGGTCATGTGAGTGCACATTTTCCTACGACTTCGAAGTGTTTTCTATTTGAGCCAATATTAATGTGAAAATTCTTCCAAAGCTACTCATAAGCATTAAGTTGGGAGCACGTTACAGGGTGGACAAAGATAGGAAGATTTTAAATGACAGGTATAGCTCCATCTTCACCTCATCTGTGTAATCTTTTTAGTGGGGAAAAATGTAAATATTTATAGTATCTCAGGGAGGAGCAAAGAGCATTAGGTTCTTCATTGAGGTTAAAAGGCAAAAATGATTCATATGAATCACTTTGGAATCTTGAAAATAGACTCTAGGCTTACCCCAAACCACAACAGCATAAGACTTTGACAAAGTACAGTGAAACATGTGTCAACAAGTCTATAAATCAGAATTGCAAGCAAAGAAATAAAGGGAAAATTTAAAGAGTAAGTGTGCAGTTAATATTTTATCCACAACTTTATGATATTTAAACTACAGTTACCTGAACATAAGTTGTTCCCCTTTTGGTAGATGGCTATATTAAAACAACGGCTGTAGAGATTGACTATGATTCCTTGAAACGGAAAAAAAATTCGCTTGGTGCTCTTTCATCAAGACCTTTTGAAGATGACCAGGAAGTATATGATGATGTCGCAGAGCAGGAAGATGTTAACAGGTATGTGTAAATACAAATTGTAAAGCAAATCAAATCATCTCTTTGTCAGATATTGTGGATTTTAAGATGCTAGAATTTTACTTTCCCTATTTCCTACTGCCCTCTATCACTAAACTGAATTACTATTTACAATCACTTCAATATGGATGAAAAGTCATTTGAAACTCCATAGTCTTTTATTTTACTCTTTGATTGTATGTATCAAATACTACTTGAAATATAATGGGCCATTTGCCAGATATTGCCAAACGTGTTGTCAATCCAAAATGCTGTTTTACAGTATTTATTCTGATTTGATCTTAAGGATATGCCTAAAGTAAGTATGACTTTGTAAAACTGAAGGATGAGATGTAGAAGTTAGCTCTGAAAAATATAAAGTGTTTTTCTCTGAAATCTGAGTCTAAATATATTCATCGTTCTTATTTAAAAACATAACAGACAAAAATGCTTTTTTAAGCCAACTCTACTTTGCTCTTTAAGAGTAAAAATGTAAAATCCCCTATGATCCCTGGCAATCAACTAAGGGTCCAACTTTCCATTCATTCCACCAGAATGGCATGACCTTCCCTGCAAGAATTATGGGAACATCTTTCTGGGGTAGAGGAGTCCAGAGGAGAGGATGGCGATCTTCTCCCACGTACCTTTCCTTCCCTTCTCTCTTTTCTCCGTCTCCAGCTCCCTTTATCCTTGCCTCCTCTTCTGTCTCTTTTTCCTAGCTCTGATCTTCCTTGTCCTTTCTTCTCCTTCCTTTTCCTTTCCCCTTTTCTTTTCATTCCTTCTTGCCTCCAATATCTCCCTTTTCTGGTAAAGCCATAATCCCTTCAAGTTGAAGGAAAAGGAGAAGGAAAATCTCCAGCACAGTGAAGAATCCTCTTTTTTTTTAATGCCCATTTGTGAAATTGGGAAATCCCCCACGTGATCCCAAAACACATGATCTGTGCTAGATCTTCACTTGGGAAAAAATGTGTCTGCATTCTTCATAACTCAAATTTTAAAGGAAAAATATTTTCATTATCAACCATTTTAAAAATGTAAAATGATCAAAACAGTAATATACTTTTGAACTATATGAAGAATTAAATTTCCCTCTTGTGGACTTTGAGCTCATGGCATCAATTAAACTTATGTTGCTCTCTGGCAGTTTTGTCTTTCTAAAATGAATAATAGGGAATTCCCTGGCGGACTGGTGGTTAGGATTCTGGGCTTTCACTGCCTGGGGCCTGGGTTCAATCCCTGGTTGGGGAACTAAGACAAGCCACGTGGCACAGCCAAAAAAAAAGAATGATGGCCTTCCATGCCTTCTTACCATGTTATGATCATAAATTATGCAATATATAGCAAAACATGCGATATATGCACTGGAGTTTACAGATTGTAAATTGGCCTTAGTAATAAGAAACACCTTGACCTAATTTGAAAGTCAGTAAATGCTAATTTAGGGGTCAAAGTTCCAAATGGCCATATTCTGAGAGTTACAGAATTTTCTGGACATGAGTATGCCATACCATGTATATTAGCAACATATATACCTTATGTTTGACTTTTATCTTTTTTAAAAAAACACACACATTTCTCTTATTTTGGAATTAAAGAACCCCAGTTATATTAATATATACATATTTACACTGATGAACATACTCAAGAAAAAAATGATAAATCCACAAAAAGGGATGATATCCTTAAAATGAAGCATTATTTTCCATAATAGGTGACTATTTCCCAAAACTAATGCTATTACCTTTTCCTTTTATCTAGTCTATACATACCACAACTCTAAAAGATATCTCTAGTTAGTAAACATGTAGCAGAAAAAGAATCTTCCATTTAATAAACTGGGGTTGGAGGAGGTGTATGGTTTTTATGCTTAGTATTTTAAACAAGTATAGCCCCACAATATTTACTAGCGTCTATTCCTCCCTTATGCACATTTAATAAGAAAATGGAATAAGAGACATCACTTCTACACAAGTTTTTTTCTTGAAACTACAGCTGCTGCTGGCAGAGATCTCATGACAGAACATGCTTTGTCCTCAGTGGAAGAAGGAAAGATGCTGAGTATAGCTGGCAGCTTGTCCTGGCGAGAATAAGAGAAGGCACCATCCTCTCCTCTCCCTCCCCCAGATGCCTCCTGGTTCCTTGCACTCTTTACCAGCTCTTTCCCAATTCCTCCAGGGTAAGGAGAGCTGACTGTGTACTTCAAATTCTGTGAGCAGACAGGAGGCTTAAAAGCACAGGACCTGACAGCGGTTCTTCTCCCTTTCTTCTCAACTAAGCAATTTTTTGTGCTAAATGTGAAACGTTGAACAAAAGGAAATTACAAGTGCAAATACCACTCTTCCATCACATAAAAAAACTTTCTTCTGTGTATGTTTCCAACCTTTTCCCTGCGATTTATCCTTTCCTCTTTCTCTTTCCTCCTCTCTTCTCACACTCTCCTCTCCTTACCTCTCATTCATCTGATCAATGGTTTGTATTCCAAAAAGACCATTATAGGAAATTGAAGAACGGCTATAGAGATGAAATCATGTATGGTGGCTTTGCTCCTGATTATAACTCTGTTCTTTAGGAATTGGGTGTGAGACTCTCCAAGGGAATATATTGTATTTGCCAGGAGTGGCAGCCAACCCAAATTGCAATTTTTCACATAATTCTATCTGCTTGCTTCATGCTCAAAGGGAAGTGTTGAGGACAATGAATGTGAAAATAGTTTGTAAGCAAGTAGAGAATATACTAAAAATTCATCAAAAATCAATTCTTATTTATATATTAGGACACTTATAGCATGTTTTTCTCCAAAGTTCCATTAACAAACGTACTTTTTATTTCTAGATCAGCAGTAGATCTGCGTCGGACCAATTTCTTTTATTCTGACTTAAAGGTTGAGGAATCAGATATGAGTGTATAATTACACTATACGATTGTAATATCAGACTGATATCTGTTACTGGCAGATTATCCAAAAGGCTCAAATGGTGACACAGGGAGCGCAGCGAGGTGTAGCCAAAAGCATATTGTAAGGGAAGGCAGGATGCTGAAGTTCTCCTCTCATCTGTTCATTTACTTAAAAGTGGGCTTGGTCATATCACGTCATTTCTCAGCACCTCAATTGCTTTCTGCAAAATGAACTAGATGACTTCTGAGATTTTTTTTTTTAGTTCTCACACTCTACACTTCCTTTGTTCTCACAGAACTCATATTTTAGTGGCAGAAATGGACAAGAAAACAGACAATTATAAAAGAGGGGAAATATAGAATGTTATCAAAATAAATTAAAACTCAGAATTCTGGATTTAGAGAATCAGGAGCCACACTCTACAAAGGCCCCATGAAGAGGATTTCAGTTTTTTTTAAGTTCTCCCTTTTAAAAAAATATAATGCTATTGGACTAAGAGTTAAATGCTGTGACTATGAGATAGCAAAAGAAAATTGAATTTAATGCAATAATGGTTCTGGAATAATACTCTCTTTTTATAAATAAGTCCATCTATGGAATGACGTAATACAGTATAATCTGAAAACTGCCTCATGGGAAAATGCTAGAAGCAAACAGTATCATTGTTTAGAATACTTTATGGTGCTGAATCTCACTTGATTCTTATTAGGTTTGTTTTGCTTTGTTTTTTGCTTTGTTACTACTCATCTATTACAATAAGGAACAGTTTTTCTTCCTTTTCACATATAACATCTGATAACTTTTTTTCTAACTAAAATATAGTTGATTTACAATACTATATTAGTTTCAGGTATGCAACATAGTGATTCAATGTTTTTATAGGTTATACTCCATTTAAAGTTATTATAAAATATTGGCTATATTCTCTATGCTGTACAATATATCCTTGTAGCTTATTTATTTTGTACATAGTAGTTCGTACCTCTTAAACCCTTATCCCCAGCTTGCCTCTCCACCCCATCCCCTTGTTACTGATAACCAGTACTTTGTTCTCCATATCTGCGAGTCTCTTTCTGTCTTGTAATATTCATTCATTTGTTTTATTTTTTTTAGATTCCACATATAAGTGATAACATACAGTATGTGTCTTTAACTATCTGACTTATTTCACTAAGTACAACACCCTGTAGGTCCACCAGTGTTGTTGCAAATGACAAAATCTCATTCTTTTTATGACTGAGTGACATTCCATTGTGTATATATACTATGTCTTCTTTATCCATTCATCTGTCGATGGACATTTAGGTTGCTTCTTTTGATATATCTTGGCTATTGTAAATAACATCCTGCTAAACTTTTGATTGGAATGTTATTTTTTCTTTTGTATAACTGCTCAATATATTTACTTCTCTCCCTGATAGCTAAATACTTCATATATTAATTTAATTGGTCCACTTTTTTTTTCCTAGCCACAATCAGAGTGGAAGTGGAGGTAAGCCACACACTTTCATCGGCAGTTTCTGCAAGTCTTCAACGTTTTTGTGTGTACTAATGACAAAATGCTTTTGTCTGCAAACAATGAGGAGGATCTTAATGTGGTAGAAAGAACACTGGACTGGGAACCAATGACCTGGAGTCCAGCCCTGGCCACTGAGTGACCCTGAGCAAGTCAGTTCTTTCTTCCAAGTTTGTTATGGGTCGGTCATAGGGTGACTCCACTTCCAGTATGCCCAGGGCAGTCTTGATTTATGCCAATTGTCTGAGCACAATTTTTAGTAGTATCCCCCTTCACTTTCAGAAGTATCCTTGTTTGGATGATAACTTACATGGTCACCTTAGCTCTGACTCCTAAAGACTCCTCGTTATCTCATCAACAAAATAAGGGTTACTAATACCTGGCAGTGCTAAAATTCTCATCCTAAAAATCAAATGTCAAGTTGATTGTACATATTCCTGTACAGAGAAGGTACTCAATAAAGATTTGTTAAATAAATATTTGTCAAATAGAAAGGTTCCTAAGGACTATAGGATAACAAATCAAAAAAAGGTTTAACTTTTAAAATATCACATTGATGAAATGATATAAAGAAATGAAAAGTCAGCCCATCAATGTTTATAAATTCACCTTTCATTTTATTTGCTTTTCTTTACTTATATCTTGATCCGTAGCTTTTTCTGAATGTCTCCTCAGTATTAATTAAATTTTTCTTATCACCTCTCCCTTCTTTTTCCACAACAAATTCTAACTCTATCTTTATTTAATTTGACTTTTTTCATAGTTATTTTCCCCCATTTCTTTCATCTCCCATGCATACTACTCTTTATCTTCCCTCATATTTTTATTACATTTCACCTCTAAAAATTCCTTATAAGATAATGTTAAAAATAATTAATTTACCTACTACCTATGTGAGAGTGGGAAATAAAGCTAGTTTTTATTTAAATAGTTGATATGAAAGTAGGATGCTTTCTGCAATTAAATAAGACAGATTTATTATCAAATTTTGAGTGAACATTTGTGACCAAATTATAAAACTAACAGAAGACTTTTTCCCCCCTAATTCACATGAAGGGATGTTCCCACCTCCCCCAGACGATGATATTTATGATGGGATAGAAGAGGAGGATGCTGTTAATGGGTAAGAATGATCAGCGAATTGCCTTTTTGCCAAGTATTGTATATACTGGAGTTGTATAGTTTTGATTTCTATTTAAAATAAAAAGCAGAAATAGCATTCCCTGTTACATTACCAAAAATTATTTGAATGTTTAATTAACATCATTAGTAAATGCGGAAGTGTAACTGCACCACACTTCAAATGAAGTGGTATATTGTTTGGAATAACCTTGACAACTACGTCAAAAGAAGTGAAATGAAAAAGGGATAAAGGATTAGAAGTGTTGCAGATTTTTTTTCAAACTTTTCCCTATCATTTATTTATCAATCAATAATTTATTTTTATGACAATCTGGAAAGTTAATCAGTCGCATGGCTATCCTTTGTATATTAATCATAGTTGTAGGCAACCCAAATAAACTGAGATCATATGCTATCTGGGGCGAAACCAGTATTGAATCCTTTGGGTGTTTAAACTTTTGAAATGGTCTATTTTAAAATTTAAATACATTAAAAAAATTTTTTAATCTATTAACAACTTACTTTTAATACAGTATAGCTAAATTGATGTCTAAAACTTAATCCTGACTCAGCTCGCTAGTTTAAGAACCAGGAGAAATCTACCAAATAAGAAAAAATAACTTACCTATTTACCTAGCAGAAGCAGTATTCAAAGACCATAACCTATAAACGTAATAGCTTCATTTTGTTCAATACAATGAGTAGCTTACAGCCTGAACGATCAAAGCAGTATAATTATAAAAAATCTGATCAATGCCTGCATGCTCCAAAGCTCCACGCTACAGGTTGAAGAGAAGAGTAACACGTGGTCCTGGGGGATTTTGAAGATGTTAAAGGGAAAAGATGACAGAAAGAAAAGTATACGAGAGAAACCAAAAGACTCTGAGTCAGACAATGAAGGTTCATCGTAAGAGTTGACCAACCACCAAATACAGTGCACGATAACAGCACTAATAATTTAATCAAATGCTGCTAATATTTTATAACCAATAACCAATTTCTGACCAACTTTTAACAATTTAATGTGTTTTTTCCATTAGTTATTCTAGCCTCATTTACTGTGTCACCCTTAAACTCATGCATTTATATAAGAGGAGCACAAAGTATTCGAAAATCATCATATGGTTCAAAAATATATTTTGCTTCCCATTCGGACATGTACAAGCACACACACGCACAAGTGTACACACACACACCCTCACACATTCATACACACTCACCCTCCATTTAGCAGGACTTTTTTTAACTGTGGCATCACATCTGAATGTTCACAATTCCAATGCCACATTTTATTATATCATATTGTATACTGACTATTCTTCAAAATATACATTCTCTTTTAAAAATTAATTGCTAGAAATAAAGGACACAATTTGGAATTTCTTTTCTCTAAGTACAGTATTTAAAGTCTTTGTAACTCTATATCACAATTGTGATATATTAATTCTACTTGAATTACATATTTATCCTATAATAAAATTATTCTAAATATCTTCAGTTTGTATAAATAAAACTAAAGCATAAATTTTACCTTTCCATACAAAAATAACCCTTTAGTATAAGTTCCATGTGTATGAATTTGAAGGATCTTCATTACACTCGCTGGTACAGGATATCCTTATTTTATATGTGCCTAATAGATTCACCACACTTAACTGAAGTCTTTATAAGATGTTAATTCCACATAGAAGTCCTAATTTTAAACCCTTTTGTGAGACACTAAAACAACACTCAATAAACAGGACTCTTAAAATTATAAGTAAACATAGCAAATCTTCTCTTCATGCAGCATTACTCAAATGTAGTCCTTAGAAATAAAAGAAGAGATTTTTTTTTTTTGCTCTAATTACACACCAGCTAATTCTGGTTTTAGATCACTTGAACTAATGACCTTTCACACTTTACTGTAACTGTGCACCATTCTTCCAGTGATGTGTGTGTGTGTGTTTAAAGCTCAGAAAGTAATAAAAGCAAAGGTCTTTTTCTGTTGCAACTAAAAGCCACCCAATCCTGATTTCAAATCACTTCTGTTAATAAGCTCTCACTCTCTAGTTTCAGTGGATATTCCTCTCTTATTCACCATTCTTCTTTTGGAGATATACATGTACATATTGTTGAAACATGGTCATATAAAGATTCCTATGACCTCTGCTGATTTTGACTCTGCATTTCTATTCTTTGAGTCAAATAAACAGTTCTGGGCCTGAGCTATGCCACAGTGACTCCAGAATACTGAGACCATTTAATTACTCTGGTATGATAATATGCCCAAACTTCATAGAACAAATCTGCAAACATTGGTCTAATGGCTGTGAGCAAAATAAACCACTGGATATCTTGACTCTTGAATTTTTGGTCAACACTGGAGTTCACAAAAAGTTTTGCTAAATTCCAGATTGATGGACAAAAACTTGGGACTTAGCAGAGAAATGGAGGATGAGAAAGGAATGACAGTCAACAGATTAATTAGACTTTATAAGCCTCCAGGCTATTCATATCTCTCCTAAATAAAAGACTCAATTTCTGTGTTTATATTGGTCTGATTATAACTGTGTTATCATTTTCTTTCCAGTTTCCCTTCTCCTCCTAAACAAGTGGGTAAGTAATAAAAGCTAATTGCATATTTTATATCTCACTTCTTGCAGATGAGGTAGTGGAAAGGATTGGCTATAGTCACGCTGCCTGAATTAAAGTCCTGACTCTGAAAATAATAAATTGTGTAACCTTGTCAAGTAACTGCACCTGGGGTCACCACAGTTTCTCAACAGTAAAATAGTGGGAAGAGGAAATTTTAAAATATCATGAATTTTAAACAGTTCTTCCAGCCATAGGATCACTATGGAGAAAGGACCGAGTAGGGATGGACCCCAACATTCCCCATGGACCCTCCCCACCCCAATTCAGTCAGAGCTTGGTGTATTGGACTTATGCATAAAGATTTCTGAAAACATGCCACATTATATGCCATGAAGGTCCTTCTAAATCTAAATTTCTTTGATTTTTAAAATGTATCACTTATATTGTCTTTGGAAAATTTTCCACTGCTCAATGTGAAACAGTTTCTTCTTTGTACAATTTTGATCAGCTTATTTTTTTACCCCTGCTGAGACAGATCTTTAAAGGAGTTTTCTTAAGTTTACTTTGAACAAAATAAAATGTCTCACAAGAATATTCAGGGGCTTTTAAAAAGTTTATTTTGACTTGTAAATAAATTGAAAGAGGGCTTCCCTAGTGGCGCAGTGGTTGAGAATCTATCTGCCTGCTAATGCAGGGAACATGGGTTCGAACCCTGGTCTGGGAGGATCCCACATGCCGTGGAGCAACTAGACCCATGAGCCACAACTACTGAGCCTGCGCGTCTGGAGCCTGTGCTCCGCAACAAGAGAGGCCGCAACAGCGAGAGGCCCGCGCACCACGATGAAGAGTGGCCCCCACTTGCCACACTACAGAAAGCCCTCACACAAAAACGCAGATGCAACACAGCAAAAATAAATTAATTAATTAATAAACTCCTACCCCCAACATGAAAATAAATAAATAAATAGAAAGAGCAAACCAAACACAAAGATAATCTATTCTTCCAGACTGTTTATCTGATTTTGTTTTCAGTTATCAATTTGAAAATATGTAAGGCTCTAACTCAAATTGATCAATAACTGATAAGCTTATATCTTAATCTATAATTTTCAAAAAGTACTCAAGAAACTTAGCTCTTGGGCTCCCCTGGTGGCGCAGTGGTTGAGAGTCCGCCTGCCGATGCAGGGGACGAGGGTTCATGCCCCGGTCCGGGAAGATCCCACATGCCGCGGAGCGACTTGGCCGGTGAGCCATAGTCGCTGAGCCTGTGCGTCTGGAGTCTGTGCTCCGCAATGGGAGAGGCCACAACAGTGAGAGGCCCACGTACCACAAAAAAAAAAAAAAAAAGAAACTTAGCTCCACAAATAGTAGGTACAAAATGGAAAAAATGTGATCAAATAAGTAAAAAATGTGTTTCTTGTTTTAATTTTCTTTCATTCTCAAAGGTGCATGTGCGTGGAATAGTAACTTTTCCCTTTCTGGAAACCAGTGATATGTAATATTTTTACATATTTATTATAGATTCTTCATATAGTTGAGCACGTTTTATCCTGTGAAATTACTTAACCTGAGTGGGAGGAAAATACACACACAAGCACACACACACACACACATATATACATACATATACAGAGCATATATATATATATATGTGTGTGTGTGTGTGTGCATATATACAGAAGAGGGGGATTTTTTTTTTTTTGGTTGCACCGGGTCTTAGTTGCGGCAAGCAGGCTCCTTAGTTGCGGCTCCCCGGCTCCTTAGTTGTGGCATGTGAACTCTTAGCTGTTGCATGCATGTGGGATCTAGTTCCCTGACCAGGGATCAACCCAGGCTCCCTGCATTGGGAGCGTAGAGTCTTATCCACTGTGCCACCAGGGAAGTCCCAAGGTGGGGGGGGGGGGATTTTTTAAAGGAAATCAAATCCTTACCACTACCAGAGAGCATTTTAAACTTTCTGTGATAATCATTTCTTAAAACATTTGTACTCTCTTCAACTCATCTCTTCAGCTTAATTTGCTGTGGAGCAACTTAATAGGTGTAGAGAGGATGCATTCCTCCTGACTTTATCAACAAGAAGTCTAGGATCAAGAAAAATGTCTACATATTGGAAAAGCCATTGAACCAGTTAAGGTCATAGCAACTTTTCCACCAATACTGATTCTCAAGACCTGCTGGTATCAGAAGTGTCTTTTATTTTACAATAGTGCCACACATAATATTCCTATAAGGTAAAAGTTAATAAAGACAGATCAATGAGTAAAAAAGAGGGATAGATAGATAGATGATAGATAGATAGGCACAAAGACAAAGACATATAAATAAAGTGATATATATTATCCTAGCACCCCAAATCCCATAAAAATCTTTACTTCAATCTCTACCTGCAGCTGATGGCCGGTAATATTGATTTGCTTGTCAGCAATCTACTAATCTTACAATTCATCACACTTGTGGATATTCAGATAATCTCAGTCACTGCTTTAGGGTTTTTTTCCTGATAACAATAGTTATTATCATTGTCACTATTTTGTTGTTGTTGTTTTTCTTTTTGAGGGATATTTAACACAAGCATCAAGGAAGAGAGGAACCTCTCTCTCCCTTTTAAGGAATAGGCAGTGCTTCCAGGAGAAATGTACAGAGACCTCAGGAAAACTTATTTTGTTGTCCTTGAAACAATCTTTATATTAAAATCCCATTGAATGCTCATATCAAAATGTACATTAACAGTGTTTCAACATTTGCTATTCTGTCTTTTGTTAGACATGGGAGATGAAGTTTATGATGATGTGGATGCCTCTGATTTCCCTGCTGCACCACCAGAGATGAGGTAATTTAAATGTTCTCATTACAATGAAGTAATGAAAATCAGACGGTTTAAGAAAATTCAGCTGGAATAAAACCCCAGTGAGGGCGTGTGTACTGTGTGCCATCCTGTTGGCTCTGTCGTCCTCTCCCTGATCCCAACTCTGAGCTCTCTGCCAGGTTTGTGAATGGATGGATAGCCCAGGTTCTCCTCCTCCTTCTCTCTCTCGCTTCCCCTCACCCCTTCCCAGTGGTCCTTCTTCCTGTCCCCTGATTATCTTCTGACCTATGACTCACCAATGTCTTCATTCATTTATTCACTCATTCACTGGGAAAATATTTGAGAGCCTGATCGCAACTGCTCTCACTGATTCATTCGCTCCCTTTTTTACTTTTTTCTCAAAACGTTTTTTGTCTTGAACACACTGCTTAGTTTATGTCTCAATCCTAACCCACCTGCTTCAAGCCTCCTCCATCCTCCACAAGAAGGTCGTTTCCTTTTATGAAAACAAAAAAGAGACAGCAGATTTGTGTTTTGAAAGGACTTTTACGAGTTATGTCACTTTTTCACAAAATCATCTGATTCTCAAAGGTTCTATTCAAACAAAAACAGTCAACAGTGAATAGTGACATTCTTTAGCTTACCTAAGGCTTCAATTTAATTTTAGACAAAAGTTGTAAGAAAATCTAAAATCAATTAATAGAAGAGGAGTACCTTTTGAAAATTCTTTTGTAATAGAAAATAACATGTTAGGATGCTTTTTTATACTCCAATAAATATGTGAGATGATCTGATACATGCTATGTATGGAAGCAAGAACACCTCTCTAGCTTTTTCAAGAAAAAAGAAAGATGAATAAAAAGATCTTGAAGTTGATCAGTTAAAGGATAAAAGTAACATCAATGGAATACAGTAAGTGGTGTCTTCTGAGCTGTACTGATAAAAATGTATGAGTGAACTCTAAGTTTCTGTTTTTGTCTTTTTTTTTTTTTTTTGTGGTATGCGGGCCTCTCACTGTTGTGGCCTCCCCCGTTGCGGAGCACAGGCTCCGGACGCGCAGGCTCAGCGGCCATGGCTCACGGGCCCAGCCGCTCTGCGGCACGTGGGATCCTCCCGGACCGGGGCACGAACCCGTGTCGCCTGCATCGGCAGGCGGACTCCCAACCACTGCACCACCAAGGAAGCCCCTCTTTTTTGTTTTTTTTTACCAACATTGTTAAACTAATTTTACACAACAAGAGCAAGATCAAAGAAACTGAGGGGAAAATATCCTGTTATTTATATAAGAAGATCAAGTTCTACAGGCAAAACACACCAGAAATATGAAAGGAGAATCATTCTCCTTTTTCAGTTCTCCATGAAAGGAAAATCTAATCTTCAGAAATATGTTAAGTTTTAATATTCCTCACCATTGGGAAGTCGCTTCTATTCCTGACAGTTTTAAGCACATTTTTGTGTTTAATATTACTGTAGAAATGCCACCACATTCCATTAAATATCTCTCTAGGAACCCAGAGTCACCCACTGGCCCTTTTTTTTAAGCAAAATAAGCCCCAGCTGATTAAACTTTGTGCGATATGTACTAATTTCTTTCCCGTTGCTTATTTTCAGAGTTTAAGGCAATCGTGTGTCTCTAACACAGCATTCTATTTTTTTAAATAAATTTCAATAAATTACCCTTAAAGAGAGCTTGTGGGGCATTTTTAACATTCATGTATATTCTGATCGCTCCAGAGTGCTAATCCGGGCCAGCGATTCCACTACTACCCAGGTACCATCAGAGAGAAGGTATGAGGGACAATGCAGAACCTAGGGCAGGACAGTGTGCTAATTCATTTCCCGGTGAATGAACTAAATTCTAAGATTCAAAATTTTTAATTAAATCAGTTACAAACAAAACTTTACCTTAGGTAATCAAAATTAATGTCAGTGTTTAAAATTTTTCATTATTCACAAATATTCTGATTTTTTAAATTCCCTCCTACAGAGAGTCACAGCCTTTCCCTAACATCCATACTTAACCCAGGAATTGTTCACAACCTTGGTTGCAAATTAATATCACCTGGGAACTTTTAAAATATATACGTCAGTACCTGGACTGCACTCAATTTAATTAATTAGAATTTTTAATTAATTTAATTTCTGGGAATTAGACAAGGGCAGTGGTATTTTTAAAAACTTCCCAGGTGATCCTATATGTGGCCAGGCTGGAGAATCACTACCTCAGAGCTGTTCACCTCTCTTATAATAATTGGCTTTAGTTGGTATCATGAGATGTGACCCTGGCTTTGTTTTAAGTAGATTATATATAGATAAATTTTTTAAGCCATAAAAATCAGTCTTTCACAAAGTGTTCTTTTTTAAAAAGCCTTTTCTATGACATTAGCCAAACCACTTAATTATCTAGGAAGGGTTGAAAAATATAAGGGGTTCAAGAATAGGTTGAATCATATGAAACTGCTGATATGTAACCATGTTTAAACTATACTTCAGTCATTTTATACCATTCAACATAATACATTATCTCTCACTTCCATTTTAACTCAGTCTGTATTCTTTTGAAAATCTATTCTGCATTATGAAATGTCATCATTTATTACAATGAATGTACTAGATTTCTAACAATGATAATTGAAAATGAAATTTAACAAAAATGTAATGTTATGAATTGTCTGTTATATACTATTCTTCTTATATTTTGAAACTAAATGCTATTTTATGTGTGTTCTGCCATCCTAGTCAAGGAGCCAAGGCCAAGGCAGAAGAAAAAGACCCTAAGAAACTAAAAAAGCAAGAAAAAGAAGAAAAAGACTTCAGGAAAAAATTTAAAGTATGTTTACATTTAAATATCATACAAAGTTCAAAGTGCTAATGAAAAAATTGATGATTTTTAAAAGTGTAATTATCAATATCACAGTTCTCCATCACAACTCCTTTATTTTCTACAAAATTTATTTTAGATTTAAATTTATTCCTATAAGAAATTAAGTAAACTCTCATACATGCACAATATATGTACTGTGATAATCATCTAAATTTAGCTGTCCTTTGAAACTTAATAAGAAGGTAAGCTAAAAATAGAATAGATAAAAAAGATGTGAGATAGATAGATATATGTGAAATATTATTCAGCCATGAAAAACAAGGAACTCCTGCCATTTGTGACAACAGGGATGCACCTTGAGAGCATTATACTAAGCAAAATAAGTCAGAATGACAGAGACAAATACTGTATGATATCACTTATATGTGGAATCTAAAATAACCAAACCCACAGAAATCAAGAGTAAAATCATGGTTACCAGAGGAGGGGAGCATGGGGAGATGCCTGTCAAAGGGTACAAATACTCAGTAGTTAGATGAGTAAGTTTTAGGGATCTAATTACAGCACGGTGCTTATAGTTAGCAATACTGTATTATATACATGGAAGCCCCTAACGGAGCAAATCTTAAATGTTCTCGCTATAAAAAAAGAAATGGTAATATTGCGAGGTGATCAAGCCAATAGAATTTACGTTCTGATTGTTATCATTTTGCAATATATGAGTGCGACAAATCAACACATGCATTACATCTTAAATTTTAAAAAACTTTTTATTTTAAAAATAATTATTAGGGGCTTCCCTGGTGGCGCAGTGGTTGAGAGTCCGCCTGCCAATGCAGGGGACACGGGTTCGTGCCCCGGTTGGGGAGGATCCCACATGCCGTGGAGCGGCTGGGCCTGTGAGCCCTTGCCGCTGAGCCTGCGCGTCCGGAGTCTGTGCTCCGCAACGGGAGAGGCCACAACAGTGAGAGGCCCGCGTACCGCCAAAAAAAATAAAATAATAATAATTATTATTATTATTAGGTTGGTGAGGTTATGAGTGGTTTTCCTCCAAAGAAGTTTTTGTTATTTTTTGAAAACAAGGAACTAGTTATTTGATAAAGATTTTCTTAATAAATCTGTCAATAAATGAATTACTTTAATAATACACATCAATCAATAAGGTAAATGCTTTTCCTTATTTTTCCAGTATGATGGTGAAATTAGAGTCCTCTATTACACCAAAGTTGCACCCTACTTAACTTCTAAAAAGTGGGGGAACAGAGATCTACAGGTGAAGCCTGGAGAATCCCTGGAAGTTATACAAAACACAGATGATACAAAAATTCTCTGCAGGAACGAAGAAGGAAAATGTAAGTCACTATTTATTCTTTATCGATAGGACACCCCAGAATTTAACGACTAAACAAGTCTTAGTGATCACTCCTATTTGTATTAACTGTTTTTGCTCCATGCTTTGTGAGTTGTGGAAAACATTAAGAAACTGGAGACCTTGCTGTGCTGGAATCAATGTATTTTACTTTAATTTTTTTTTTTTTTTCATTTCCCACCTGCTATATTTGGCACTGAGTTGCCAAAGTTATGCCAAATGTGTGCTTCTGAAAATGTGGTCCCCCAGACCACCAGCATCAGAAAACTCCTGTGTGTATTACAATTCTAACACCCTGGACCCACCCTTGACTTGCTGAGTCATGTACTCTGTGGGTCAGACAGAGTCTGTGATCATAACGGCTTCCCTAGTTTGCTCCTACGTACACTAAAGTGAGAACCACTCTGCTAAAGTAGTGAGTGGTTCTTGCTCTGGTCTGGTTTGAAATTATATCGCATATGTCACACCTAGAATCTCCAGTTTCCCTACCTTGCAAATTCACTTGCTTTCACTTCCTGTTCGGCCACATTTAATACGACATTCTATTCCAAATAAACACAAGAGTGTCCTGTCCTCTCTGACTTTCTGAGCTACTAAAGCTGGCAGATGGAAATGTTTTTGTCCAGTTTTAAAAGGAAGCTTATTTCATTTAACGTCCAGGGAAGAGTAAGTCAAAATTATGTTGTCCTATATTTAAAATTGAATGGCCAACATGGCTGTCCCATATCAGCTCGGTAAGTCTGCACGGAAAACACAAACTCTGAGTTCAATTTTAATGACAGGAAGGTGACTCAGGGACAGGAACCGAAGTAGATGTTTTAAGAATAAAATACAGTGACTCAAGGGTGGGGAAAATGGATCTAAAGCTTTTATGGAAGGGGTGTGGTTGGCTTTAAAAGAAAAAAATGGAATGTGGGTGCAAAGGATAAGAGGCAGGGGTATGTAGCATTATGACTTGAAGGTTACTGGAGATAATTCAAAGATGGAGCTCCAGAAGACAAAGAAAACCCCCATTCAGACCTGGATTTGTGAAGATGTACCCCAAGGAATAGTCTTAAATGCAGAATAACTACATGCTTTAAAAGGTCATCAAAATATTTTTAAATGTTCAAATTTTTAAAATTATTAAATAAGTTATGATAAATATATAAACTGTGTATTTTCCAGGGTGATTATGATAGCATGAGGAAATTCTCATGATACAACAGTAAGAGGAATAAGAAGCCTGCTTAAAGTAGGATAGGATTTATTTACAGCCATGTTAAAAAATATGTAAATAAAAGAAACCAAACTAAAATCCTAATAGTGGCTGATTAGGGTGATGGGCCTAAATGATATGTTTCCTTCCCTCTACTTTCCAAATTATTTCACATTTTTCACAACAGAGAATTGTTCTAGTACTTGTCATGTGGACCTTTCTCCAGAGGACAAGCTTCAGACTTATCTTGACCTGCTGTCCTGAGATTTGTGTCCCCGCAACAAATCCCATCTAGAGCAATGCTCCTCGACTCCAAAGTACATACACTTCACGTGGGGATCTTGTTAAAAATGCAGATTCTAACTTAGTAGGTCTGAGGTAGGGTGTTTTTCCCAAGCTCGCAGGTAATTGATGCTGCTGGTCCGCAGAACATACTCTGAGTAACAGGATATAAATGACCTCAACAACAAACATGTATAGATACAGATGAGCAGATGTAGATTCAGCATCAAAAACAGAAATTCAGAGGAGACTCCTACCTAGGAGCCAGTAGACCTTAAGAATGAGGAAAAGCAACAGCCATTCTGGGATAATTTGTAATCTGCTATCATTTTCTACTTCGACATCAATAATTCTAAATACTGCTATGAATACTGGAGGACTCCTATCCTCTTAGAGTTTATCATCTGTTAAAAATGAGAGGTGAAAACATTACATGACATTCTGGTAGATAAAATCAAGAGTTCCTTGTAACTTTTCTCTTCTTTTTTTTTTTCTGTGGCAGGACCAATGCACTTTACAATTCTCAAGCTCACTGATAACTAATTCAATTCTTAGGTGGTTTTAGGGTCCACCTCGAACAGAATGAAAACCAGATGATTATATCAGTAGCACTTGCGTACTAGTTGTTTTTTATTTATAGACTTTCTTTGGCCTGGACTTTGTCTTAGTTTGGCTTTCCCATTTGGGAGGAGATTCTGGGATACTCCCATGAGCACGTGGAGAAGTAGACTGGGAAGAGAAGGCAGCTAATAAAATCTTGTTAATAAACTGGGAAGAGAAGGCAGCTAATAAAATCTTGTTATCAAAAAAAGGTACACTTGGGTAGTAGGAGTTTAATCAGTTGGGAAATCGGAGTGGCAGTGTTATCCCATCTGGTGGGAAACAAACTGGGGTACTTATACATCAACTCCGTGTCCATCAGGAATTGAAGCCTACTCCTGGGCAGGTGGGAGGGCCACCAAGAGCATCTGCGATTTCATTATTCCACAATTCAATGATCATATCTGCTTAATTTCCCTTTTATTTTTCCAAATCTCTTGCTTTTCTTAATATTTCTAAAACTGCTGGTTAGTCTTTCCTTGAACTAGATCCTTAACATGTTTAATTTTCTTAATTTCTGATCTATTCCTCAAATACCTCCATAGGATTTGGGACAATTGTTGTATGAATTTAACCCTTCCTCACCTGGATTATTGCAATAGCCTTTCAAATGATATGTCTCCCTTACCCTTCTCTCAGCCAATCCACTCACCATACTGTTACCCAAATATTATTTTTAAAAACATGAAGTCTTTAGGGTTAGTATATAAAGCCCTTTGTGATCTAGCGTCACCTTCATCAACTATTTCCCATCTGCAACTAACACTCCAGAAATGTAAACTACTCATTTGTCATTCCCTAAATAAATTATGCTATTTCATCCTTCTATGCTATTTTATTCTACTTGGAATGCCCATAAATTATCTATTAAAAACAACCCAGTTGTCATCTAAAATTGGAAGCACACTCACTCCCTCCTCTGCAGCCACCCTAACACAATTAATCTCTCCCTTGCTGCACCATGCCACTACTGTTATTGCTGTCACTGTCCTTACTGTTTTTCCAATCTATTACTCTTATGAGACGGAGCTTGAGAGTAGCTTCAGTGAAATGTTCTCAACACCGTATTGCCAACACATTCTACACTGCCTGGCACCTTGTTTGGGGCTTGCTGAATTGAGTATAACAATTTGGAGATTGCAGTTGGATAACCAGATGAAAATCTGACATACTGACATTCACAGGAAGAAGTCCGTTGAATAGTTTAACTTGTTAGAAGACAGAAGTTCTCTGTCTTAGCCATAGTGATGTGGTTCACTTGTTGTGTATCATTTGGGAGACTCTGAATCTTTCAGTTCCTTTTTTCTACATCTAATTAGCAGTAACGACATTTGCAGTCCAACATCATGATGACCCTAACATTTTCCTTACTTTAATCCATCCAAAAAAAAAAAGAAAACCATAGTTTACTTAAACCTAATTTGTAATGATAGATATGAGAGGCTAAATCATTAACAGTAATCCCTTCCCACTGTGGAGTAGAGTACAAGCCACTTTTACAGGCATTATCACATTTGATCAGGTCTCACCCACTGACTTGTAGAAAAGCACATTGTAGAGGCATTGAGATCTTAAATATATATTTCTGGCACATTCCCAAATGTTTAGAATTTCTCGCTAATATTTGTGCATGTTCCTCAACTCAAAGTCTCATAAGCTGTGAGTTTTCCCACCTCCTGTCACTGGAGAAAATTTTTCTACAGAAAAGTGTGGAATGAGACATGAGCTGAGTTATTTGTGATCAAAATGTTGTCCATTTCCTTTGGGCACCAAAGGAAGGGGAATTTTAAAGGTGTTTTGGGTGTCCCCAAATCCAATTGATGATTTCTTTGCTTAGGTAATTTTGGTTTCGATTTTAAAACAACACATGTTCACTGAAGAAAATTTTTGTATTCAGAAATTTAATGTCACCTGATTTGAAGCCCTAAAAATAAGTAGGGAGAGAAAAAGAGAGAGGGAAAGAGAACATTTTTATAGAACTAGGATAATAATTTATATTTAGCATTATACACTGCATTTTGTTTTTAATTTCTATTACATTATGAGCATTTTCTCTTGAAGTCGGACGTTGTTCCACTTGCCTTAGTAAATCTATGCAGTATGACTATTGTTTTTAAACTGCATGAGGCCAAATTGAGTAAGTTTAACTTTATTTCTGGACTTGCTCACAACAAACGAAATAATAAGGAAATAATAAAATTTGTCATTTTTATTGAGTAAAAAATTTGAAAATATTAGAACAAAGATATTTTTTCCAAAGATGGTTTTGTATATCCTTGGTAATTTTATATTCACAACACCCTTCTGAAAGGTGAGTCATTAGTCCTGCGACACATCTGCACTGTAGCAAGTAAATGTTTTGGGAAGAAATTAACTGGCACATATGGTGGGTGGGTGTTACTTTCTTAACCAACTCTACCCACCACATATTTCAAAACATTTGTTTCAAGTCACTGTGTTCTGCTCTATGAATGTGAGATTTCCTAATGATAATTTCATATTATGTGTGAGCATCCCTGGTGTGCCAGTGCCCACGATATTATAGAGCTAACTAAACACAGCAGCCACGCTGCGTGTTACAGAACTATGATGAGGTTTTCTGTTTATTTCATTTGTTTGTATTTTTCATTACATTCCCTATGATGAATGTTCATGGAACATGTGAGCAGAGAACATTTTTCTACTTCCAAAAAAAAAAAATTGTGTTTAGGAACTATCATGGAGAAGTTGTTTAAAACTTCATGGTAAGACACTTGTTTTGACACTGTCATGAATCATGCTTGTAATAGAATGAAGTTTCAGCGGAGATTTTTAAAGGTACTAGACAGCAAAACCTATGCTGTATTAAAAGTCGTTAACCCTACAAAAGTGCTATATAATAGTGATTTCATAGTTTATGAGCCCCAAATGATCACATCATTTCAGGGAACTAAAGTAGAGCAGCACAGTACCATCCCACACCCCAACCCCTTGATAAGTTTGTTCTTAAATAATATTCACAATCGTTGATGTTTATGTAGCTCACACAATAACAAAAACAACAAAACGGCAACAACGTTAGAGCTTTCAACAAAAGAAAAAGCTGCTCCATAGAACTCTTGAAGAGTCAAGATATAGGAGGAAATGTAATAGGGATTTGAGAAGCTAGGAAAATATATTTTTTTATAATAAACTTTGTGAGGTTAGGTAATTAAGCTCTATATCATGAGTTAGTAACTTTGGTCATTGAAAGGACTGTTTTATGCCTAATTACAGATAGTGTTTTATCCAGGTCTACACAATTTTAGCATAACTGAGTTTTAAAAAGTAGATGACCTACAAGCACAAGAAAATAAAAACCTTTTATTTCCAGAAATGGTGATTATATTCTCTTTGTTTTGGATTTTGTTTCTCTTGACCTTCTAAATATTTTTTACAAACAACAACAGAAATATACTTGAGGCCAGAATAATTCCAATCTCTGGCAATATTTTCTTACTTCTTATACATTTCTCTAATTGTCTACGTGCTAATTTTAGTTCAGACACTTTACAAAGCCCAGACAACTCACAATGAGATTGATTTCATCGTTAAAGGCTTCAGTCGTTATTTTAAAATTATTAATTTAAACATGAATATCAATGGGAACACTTACTTGTATTGTTTTATTTTCCAGTTTGTTTTAAGAGAAAATTCAAAATGAAAACATAACCACCAATTTTAACTAACGAAAAAAAAGCTTTGTGACTCTTACTGTCTGTAGAAATGGTTCACACTTTATGTTAGCCCTAAACAGAAGTACGAGTAAAGACAGACTTCAATTATTGGAAGCCTGACACAAAATCCACACTTTGTTCAAAAAGTCTGTTATTTGCACAGAGTTTCTCTTTTGAGAGACACACATAGAGTTGAATTTGTTAGAGATGAGATTATCCCCCTTTAAAAATTACGCTAAATGATGATGTCTACCTTAACTTTTTTTTAAAGTTTGTTAACGTGAAATGACTGAAAGAACTGTGGAATCAAAGTCTACCCAAGGATCATAGATATTAATTTTAGATGACCTTTATATTAATTTTTCCACTTCTTTAATTGAAATAAAAAGGAAGGTATAACATTGTCTAATTTTTCATACTCTGAGAAAAATATTACTTATTGTACTTTTATCATTTTGACATATGCTTCATTACTGCCATGCTGCAGGAATTCAGAGATAACTTCGATTCTTTATTTTCCAAATATGATTCTTATGAACAATTTTCATCAACAAGTAGTTAATTTCTTGACAAAATATTTTGGTGGAATTGTTTTTACCCTGGAATATTTCAAGGGAAAGTTCATTCTCTTAATTTTTAATCCACAATTTCAGTTGTATGATTCTAACTTTAAAAAAATTTTGCATGTTAAATCAATGGCAATATGATATTAGTATGTTTATGTAAGTTTATTAACGTTGGTATTAATTTTTGCTTGTGAGCTTCCTGCTTTATCATTTTTTACACATTTACTCTTATTTAGAACCAAAACTAGATCTGAGCTGGAGCAAAACCAATAGATTGACTCAGTGAAAGAAGTTATTTAGAAGCTGTATTGACAAGACTGTAAATGGTACTAATATCAAGCATATAACAGTGGCTAGGTGCTAACACAAAACCAATAATTCCAAAGGCTAGTAACATTAATTAGACGTCAGCAGACATTTTCTTAAGAAAAATAGCCCATATGTTTTCTTAGGAGTATTTTGCACAAGAGGGGCAAAACTAAAGTGAAAAAAACTTTGCTTTCTTGTATAAAATGTTTATTTTCCATTTAACAGAGGAATCACTAGAATCCCTGATATGTGCTCTTCTAATAGTTATGTATTCCATGAAAGATGAAAATGCAAACATCGCCGCTCTGTCAGATGGCAAAAGCAATAGTGAAAGATCTTTCACGCTCATTATAAGAGAGCTGTTTTGAAACCATTTAGAATGCACACTCCCCCAAGTACACACTAGATTGCGGATCTGAAAGGGGAATGGAACACAGTTCTGACTGTTCAGTATAATAAAATTTGAAAAGTTAAGTCTTAGACCTGGTGCTATTTAAAATCCCTACCTGTGACCTACTTTTTTCATAGAAGAAATTATGCTTAATAAATTCTTAAAACTGTGTCAAATGGGTAACACCTTAAAGAAATAGATTAAAATGTGAAAGAAAATTATGCTACAACCTACAGTAGCTTAGAAAAGAAAATATTGGTTTTTAATTTAAGGGGGAAAGGAGGAAAGATTGTAAATGGAGGAAAAGAGTCATGTAGGAGAGAGAGAGAGAAAAAAGTTAGAGAGAAGAGGAAAAGTTGTAAAGCAGAAACTAACACACCATTGTAAAGCAATTATACTCCAATAAAGATGTTAAAAAAAAAAAAAGGAAGGAGAGAAAAGTGGACACAAATAAGAAAAATAAGTCATATTTGGAGATAGATATAATTATTCAATATATTATATCATATTCTTTTAATTATTAAATTCTATTTCAATTTCTTTAAAAATAGTAGGGATTTTTCTAGTTTGTACTGTTAATAAAATTTATTTTCTTTTTCTTTCTTAGACGGTTATGTCCTTCGGAGTTACTTGGTAGACAAGTAAGCCCATTTTCTTCTACTACTATACTTCTGAAAATAATTATATGCTTTTCTTTAGGAAAGTTTCCTAATATCACTTACATAATATAATCTACTAAACTATCATAAATAAATTTTAAAACAATATGCTATACTAATGTCAATATGGTAGTACCCATAACGAAGTTAGTTTTGATAAAGTGTCACTCTTTTAAATATAAAGGAGGAGCCCTTCTCATTCATGATTATACAGTTCATAGTTTTAGATATTCATTGGATACACACATTGCAAATATTGGAGACAGGTCAAAACCACTAACACTTTGCATTTCACTAGCTATTAATGCAGTTGATTGAATTGAATTAATCAGGTATCGATTAGTGTCTGCAGAGTAGGTACAAATATCACCTGTTAACGGTTTATGGCTTGGCGCCTAACTGAAGGCTTTTCTTTACTCACACTAGGCATAGTAGAGTATATTAAGTTGCCTTTTTTGGAAGCATGCCAGAAAAAGATAGCGGTCAATGATTCTTCTATTTTTATGAATAGGACATTGTCACAGTCTGGTACTAGTGCTATTAGAGTCCACCCCCAATGTTATAAGATCCTATTCCAAGTAAACCAGTGCAAGAAATGAACTCCATTATCAGGGTAGGTCATATACCAATACAGAGATTTACAGAATTCAGCATGATTAAGAAATCAAGGACGATTCACAAACTGTATCCATAAATAACCTGACACCAATCAGAAAGAGGCAAAACAATGTTAAGGGCTCTGCCAGCAAACCAGGAAAGAGTCAAAAGAAAAATAATCACAATACTTTTATTTTCCTCAGAGCATTAATCACAGTAGTAGGCATGGGACTTTTCAATAGGTTTTACTCTGTGAAAGATACAAATTTCAAGGAAAGAATGCGTGACAAATAACGGGACCACGTCTTCATCAGTGATTACTACAGGATGATTAAGAGAGAATTCAGAAAGTGTACTCTCTAAGTAATTATTGCTTTACTACCTATTGAAGTGAATACTTAATAAAAGTTTATTGAATGAATAATAGAAAAAAATCTGTCCTCTTTGCATTTGTATCAGATTTCCATTAGCCAAATCCTCCCTCAATCTCAGAGAAAGGATCCAAACAGAAGACCTAGGGAACTCACAGCATCTGCCATAGTTGGCAGCAATTTGAAAAGCCTGCTGCTGCTTCCATGATAAATGCACAGAGGTAGTATAGGAACCAAGAGTAGGTCTGGTCTAAATGACAAAGTCACCTTACATTTGTGTATCCTACGTTTCAAGGCTATATTAATATTTATAATTCTTTCTACTTTAATTACTTGCATATCATTCTCTCCTCCATTAGATTAGAACTTTCTTGAAATAAAAACTGTGTCTTACTTATATCTCCTGGTACATAGGAGGGACTCAGTGTGTGTGTAGAATAGAATATTTCACAAAGATTCAGGACCAGATAAAACCTAAAATGTGTAAAACTCACCAGAACGATTATTATGGCTGCCGCCTATAACCACAAATATTTTTTAAATTACATAACATAAGAATCACCATATAGTGACTTCCTTGGCAGTCCAGCGGTTAAGACTCCATGCTTCCAATGCAGGGGACATGGGTTCGATCCCTGGTCGGGAAACTAAGATCCCACATGCTGCGCGGCGTGGCCAAAAACTTTAAAAAGTAAAAAATAGGACTTCCCTGGTGGCGCAGTGGTTAAGAATCCGCCTGCCAATGCAGGTGACATAGGTTCGAGCCCTGGTCCGGGAAGATCCCACATGCCGCGGAGCAACTAAGCCTGTGCGCCACAGCTACTGAAGCCCACGTGCCTAGAGCCCGTGCTCCGAAACAAGAGAAGCCACCACAATAAGAAGCCCACGCACCACAACGAAGAGTAGCCCCCGCTCGCCACAACTAGAGAAAGTCTGGCATGCAGCAATGAAGGCCCAACGCAGCCAAAAATAAAATTAATTAATTAATTATAAATAAATAAATAAATAAATAAATAAAGAATCACCATACAAACCATATCCTGGCTGCTTATTTTGTAACCAATATTTATATATTTTAAATTAATATTTACAAATTATAATTAGAAACATTGCAGAAATGATGCACCCATTTCCTATGCCAAATATTTCTGTATTTGATTCAACATTTGAAGTTCAAGTGAAAGTAGTATAAATCTGATATTACTGAACATAAAGAATCCATCACAGTTTTGGATTAGGGCCCCCAGTGGAGTACTGTGCCGTGATTTTTCAGTTTGTTCAGTTCAACAAACACTACTGACCAAGGACAGCTGTGTGCTAGGCTTATAGTTCTATCTAAAGATGAGTAAGGCATGGTCTATGCTCTTGGGGCATGTTTTCATTATTCTGTATGTCTATGATATGGAATAAATTGTGTGTGTGTGTGTGTGTGTGCGTGCTATAAGAATGAAACAGAGGATTAGATTAAATCAATGAAAGGAGATACAGATGAATATGAAATTTCTTCCCACTTATAAATGTAACTTCTCACCCTTAAATGCCTTATGTCACGTAAAATCACATTATTAAACTTATAACCTAAATATTGCTTTAATGTTAAGAAGATTCTTTCTTTAAAATAAAATTTATTTTCTACATTTACAGTGATGGAGAGATTTATGACGATATTGCTGATGGTAAGTCTCACGTGGCATCCAGCACAGAGAACAGTCATGGTGAATTTACTGTTCTTACAAATACTGAAAATAGCTTGCTGGATTAATTAGAGCCTTCCAATCTGATTAGAATTTGAATCACCTGAAAATGTTAAGAAAGGTAAATGCCATGGTATAATGAAATAAAATTATTTTTGAACATGATTGAAAATCAAGGAAAAATCTCTTATTTATTTTCTTTGAAAACAAAAGAATGAAATATTAGTAATATTTTTCATTATACCATGAATCTTAATAAGAATTGCTTTATCCACAAAAATATTTGTGCCTCGACAATAAGTAGGTACTTATTTCATAACCTGTATTACTCACTAGTATTATCTAAGCATTGTACATTTCTAAATTATGATCTAAAACATTAATCTCACCTGAAATGAAGCATAGTGTTAATTATGTTCCTTTTAGTCTCCTTTTAAATGTATGATTCTTACTGATACCTAATATTTTCAACCTCATTCAGAATTACTATCAAAAAGTACATTTAATTAAGTACCAGGTAAAATAATCTTGAGTCTCATTTTGATAGAGAATAGATTTGTCCAGAAACTTTGTTTGGAAAAGTACACTGAGCAATGAATGTTAAATAAATATATGGCCTTCGATTTAAATGCTTTTTCATAAAGTGAGACAATTCTCCTATTTTTATCCTAAACCAGGAGAGTATGAATCATTTACATTTACAGCGTTGGAACACTTAGAGGATATGTATTTTGTGTAACTAATTTAAATTTGTATTTTCTTCTTTTAGGTTGCATCTATGACAATGACTAGTTCTCAGCTTTGGTCATTCTGCTATGTTCATTTGATGACAATGTGAAGTCTGTGTTTTAATTGTCCTATGTTATCGGGTATCATAGAAAATGAATGCACAAAGCTAGTTATTACCATTTGTTATAAAATTATGATTATTTTTATACATTTTGAGATTTTGGACTTAGAAAATGATTTCCCTGCTTAATCAACATCTTGGAAGACTGCATCAATGAGATGTAAGAAATATTAAATACCCAGTTCTGCCTCAGCTACAATTATGTAAGCACTTCTTTTAGACCATCAATAGACAACTCTCCCTTCCGGAAAAAAAAAAAAAATCTTTTGAGAAAAAATGGCTGTTGTCTAAAGAAATATAAAGAACAACAAAAATATAAGGAAGGAAATCTTTAAATGTTTCATAAGAAGAAAAACTCTTGTTTGTACTTCTAATGATCCTATCTTATATTCTCTATTCAAATTATCTATCTTTTAAAAGGCAGGGCTGTCTCCACTCTTACTGGTGGGTTAAATGTTTTCAAACATTATAGTAGTAGCAGAACTTTTGTATAAAGTTTACCATATAATTCTGTTTAAAATACTGTTGTAACTAGAGTAGATATGAATGAAGACCACCCCAAAATTATGAAGAATGGAAGAATGGAGTTCAAAATTGACTAGCCTTTCATGGCACCTCTTTACTATGAAGACTCTTTTAAAGGTTTCTGTTTTTGTTTCTCTATTACCCCTACGGAAAAAAAATTTTAAACCACTTTACTGGAAAGTTGGCCAGCAGAGGAAATACAAATTAATAAACCTTAGCATTTGGGCTGGGGTGTTTCCTATTGGTACGTACTCAACCAAAAATAACCCCAAAACAAAATGTGAAGCATTTGGGTTCCAAATGCTAAGAACACTAAACACCACGATACAAAATGCAGAAACCTAACACCCAAGAAAATAGCATATTAGGAAATTTTTTCACAGCTTCCAAAATATGAATTGAGCAAATCCTAATGCTGGCTCTGCTGTTAATGAGCCATGATGTGTTATTGGATAAATTATTTATCCTCCTCCTAGTTTTCTCATCTGCAAATTTCAGGATTAGACTAAGTCAATTTTTCCCAACGTTTTCACTATCAGTTACCTCAAATGCCTATAATCCTCCCTCTACCCTAGCCCTGTGTTTCAGAAGTTTTGCTGATTTTTAAAACTCATTGATTAAATAATGATTAATGCATTATCCATGTTTTAATATTGCAGAGGCCCATTGGAGAGTCTGAAGAGTAGCCCCACTTAATTGAAATAATTTCAAGTAATTGTAAAGGAACTCAAAGTCTTCATGTGGGTAAAGTGGGATTTCTATTAGGTGCTTTGAAATTTAAAAATAGATCATCAACTACTATTGTTCAATGTGTATACTCTGGGGGTCTGAGGCCCCCAAATTAGAAGCCACTAATCTCAAAGACCCCCTCCAATTATGAAATATTTTGATGTCTACTTTTTGATAGGGAGAGCCAGTATTTGCTCACGTGATGAATTTATTTTAATACTAGATAAAATTACAGCATCCAGAAGTGGTTTTTGTTTGTTACATTTGGTAACAAATATACAACATACACTGACATTATGTTTCCAGTAATTTTATCTTCTGATTGAGAATGGTATAAACTCAATACAATGTCAGTTTGGGGGTTTTTTTGTTTGTTTGTTTTTTTGCGGTATGCGGGCCTCTCACTGTTTTGGCCTCTCCCGTTGCGGAGCACAGGCTCCGGACGCGCAGGCTCAGCGGCCATGGCTCACGGGCCCAGCCGCTCCGCGGCATGTGGGATCCTCCCTGACCGGGGCACGAACCCGTGTCCCCTGCATCGGCAGGCGGACTCGCAACCACTGCGCCACCAGGGAAGCCCCAATGTCAGTTTTTAAAATTCTAAATTATATCAAGGGTATCTTTCAGAGTTATGGTTTATACACCAAGAAACAGACACATGTTTATGAAAGATTTATATGATAGACAATCATCTTAATATAAAAGAAATATCTGAAGTATTAATTTTAATATACTAAATATTATTTCTATTATGGTTTTATGTGAGGAATTTTGTCGTGTGAGAAGAGCGACAAATAAATAATACCTTCAGCAGATAACTTTGCCTCCTACTTATCAAGAAATCAAGGCCATCAGCCCTTCTGTCCTGTAACTTGATCCCAAATCTATGAGTCTTTGAGCCCATTTTTACCTCTTTTGATTTCCGCCTCAGCGGATGGGGTGGTACCTCCTGTTCAAGACCAAACCTTCCACCACTGGTGCCCTTGATACTTTGCCTCCTGTTTTGTGGTAGAAATTGAGATAACCAAGTGCAGTTCCCTTTAACTTCCTACAACGTTCAACCTTAACCCTATCCAGACACTATCCCAGAAAATAAGATGTCACTGCTTAGAGTCAAAGCCACAACCTGTTATCTCACGTCTTTCTACCTTCTCTGGAGTCTTCTTCCTCCACAATTAATTCATTCTCAACCTCCCTCTTGCACCTCTTCCCCATCCCTCTTTCCCTCCTTCCCTTCTTCTTTTCTATCTTTAACATCTTCCATTCTGCAGATTCCCTCTTCTAGGCTTACAAACAAACCGAAGTCTTTCCTATTTGAAAAACAGCAGGAAACCTTGCCTCGAATCCAAATACCTCTCTAACTACAGCCCATTTCTATCTTCCTTTCCTCATCTCATTGTCTTAAAATAGTAGGGTATATGGAATTCCCTGGTGGTCCAGTGGTTAGGGCTCCCATGCTTCCACTGCAAGGGGCACAGGTTCAACCCCTGGTTGGGGAACTAAGACCCCTACATGCCGCCCGGTGTGACCAAAAAAAAAAAAAAAAGTAGGGTATATGTGGCAGCCAGGAGAATGTGCCTCACAGACTTTCAACCACGGAGAGCTTAATTAACCAAAGACCCCAGCTTCTGCACTCTGAAATCCATCCCCACAGTTGTGCCAATGCCACGTTTCCCACAGACTGCTCCTGTGTAGCCAGCAATTGAGCATGGCAGGCCTGTTCCTGAAAGATACATAAGCTTCCAGCAGCCTGGCTAACCCTTCCTTATCCCACATAGCACTCTGAGATGCTTCTACCCAATCATCTCCCCCTCCTCCCTTCATGAGGTCAGACTTGCACTGCTGCCTGATGGCTCCTCCAGCCTTCCCCACCTCCCTCCCATTTCCTCTGACACATATATTTGTGCCACCCTCCCCCTCTGCACAGAAAATTACTACACTTTCACTCCATCTTGGTGTTTGCTTTCCAGAGGACCTGCACTGAACACAGTAGCGCTGGAGAGTTTGTAAAAATACACATCCTCCTCAAATCAACTGAATCAGAATCTCTGGGGAAGAAACTTTTCAGTCATTATTATTATTATTTTATTTTATTTTATTATTTTATTTTTTTGCTGTACGCGGGCCTCTCACTGTTGTGGCCTCTCCTGCTGTGGAGCACAGGCTCCGGACGCGCAGGTTCAGTGGCCATGGCTCACGGGCCTAGCCGCTCCGCGGCGTGTGGGATCTTCCTGGACCGGGGCACGAACCCGTGTTCCCTGCATCGGCAAGCAGACTCTCAACTACTGCGCCACCAGAGAAGCCCTCAATCATTATTTTTAATTGAAGTATAGTTGATTTATAATGTGTTAGTTTCAGGTATACAGCAAAGTGATTCGGTTTTACATATATAATCTATCTATTTTTCCGATTCTTTTCCCTTATAGGTTATTATAAAATATTGAGTATAGTTCCTTGTGCTACACAGTAGAAACTTGGGGGTTTCCATCAATTTTTAATTAACTCTAAATATGAGTTTAATGCTTAGCCAGGTTTGGGAATCCCTGGCCTCTATTCACCCTCTGCCACATTCTTGAGTTATATTCAATCTTCAACTTGCTGCAGTCTGATCTCTGCTGCAATTACTCTCAAGTCAGCTCTCTGTGGATATCCCACAAGTACCTCTAACTCACGTGACTCAAAACTGAGCTCATTCTCTTCCCCCTTTCAGTTGATGATCCCTCTTGTAGATTCTATCTCAGTGACAAATGTATCGTCCATTTGCCCAAGCTCAAAACCAGAAGTTTCTCTGCTTCTGCTCATTCATTCTCAGTGTCCAATGACTCATCATTAAACAGAGGTCCCCAAAATAAAGACTCTGTCTTACTTGTTTTATACTCCTATACTTTACATGGTATTTGAAGCCTTTTATTGTATATTTGACAATGAAAATATAAGTGATGCCTGCAAAGAATGTGTTAATCCAGTAGGCTGCCACTGTAATTTTTCCTTAATTGCTGTTTCAAATGCCATAAGAGGTTGAGTAAATTGATGGCTGAGAAATGCCAATTCGATTTATCAACATGTGGATAATAGGTGACCTTAGAAAGACTGAAGCAATCAAGCCCAAGCTGACTGCAATGGTGCCCTGCGTTAGGAAGCAGATTCTGGGATAGAGTTTGGAGTATCTATTAGGGATGAACGTCTGTTGAAGGAAGGGAAAGAAATATGACTGAGCAGAGAAAGCAGTTAAACTGGGATCCAAGCCCAACATCCTCAGCCAACCAGATGGGGGCCTTCGGAATAAACTCTACCCAGGCCAAAATGGCCAGTCCTTTTACCTCACTCATCACCATACATGGGCCACCCTGGGAAGGGCATGACCTTGTGCAAGATGACACTGAGTCTGAGGCAGACCCTGAAGAAGCAGACAGTTTGAGGCAGTCTGCAGATCACATTCTCCTCAGCTGGGCAGCGAGTACTTCCTTGAAGGAGGTTAGCATCCCATGTCCACAAATGGACTGAGAGGTGAATGGAAGGTTAGAAAATTGAGACAGACATAATGGACACCTCTTTCCAGAAATTTTACTGCAAAAGTAAGGAAAATGATATAAGTAATAGCCAGATGGGAAAATAAAGTGAAGAAAGGGCTTTATTATTTTGTTCTGGGGAATAGATTGTTTCTAAGAGAGAAAAGACTTGAGCTTATTCAAAACCAGATGGGAAGGATCCAGTTGGGAGAAAAAGGTAAAAAGATGGAGGATTGGACAGAAATAGACTGCAAATTACAATTTTTTTCCCTGGCAAATTATGTGTCATTACATCTGTAAAATGCTAAGCATTGTTCTGGACACATCATAAGGACTCAAATATTATCACATTATTATTATGACTAATTTTGAAATACATGCTGATGCTTGTCACAATTATGCCACATACTTAAGGGTTTATTTTAGTGACTACGTATGTCATTTCTTCTGCCTCCTGCTTGAGATTATCAGCTAAGTTACATAACCTTGAATAAGAATCTAAACTTTGTTAAGACTCAGGATCTTCATTTATAAAATATGAAAGTACGTACTTTACAGTGCTGTGAAAATTAATTGAAACTATGTACTTAAGCATTTAGTACAGTGTCTGACCCATATTAACTTTTTCTAAAAGGTATCTAGATACACTGTTTTATCTTTTTTTAATATTATTTTATTTATTATTTATTTTCCTTATTTCTTTTGGCTGCGTCAGGTCTTACTTGTGGCACATGGGGTCTTTGTTGAGGCATGCAGGATCTTTTCATCACGGCACACAGTCTGCTCGGGCTTCTCTCCAGTTGTGGCGTGTGGGTTTTCTCTCTCTAGTTGTGGTGCGCAGGCTCCAGAGTGCGTGGGCTCTGTAGTTTGTGGCACACATGCTCTCTGGTTGAGGTGCGCGAGCTCAGTAGTTGTGACGCGCGGGCTTAGTTGCCCCGAGGCATGTGGAATCTCAGTTCCCCAACCAGGGATTGAACCCGTGTCACCTGCAATGGAAGGTGGATTCTTTACCACTGGACCACCAGGGAAGTCCCTGACCCATGTTAATTTTATCATTATCACCTTGCTTGCTTGTTTGCTATTATACGTTTTGAACATGTCAACTGAATGGAATTCTGTTGAGATGAGCATTATTTTAATGATGGCAAACTTGCTCTGACTCCCAGTTATTTACCAGCTGATATTTGAGAGTAATATAGAAACACTTAAGATTAAACACAATAAACAAAAATAAAATAATAATAAATAAACCCAATGCCTGAGCCAGGTCCAGTTCCTGCATCTGAGTTTCAGGTTACAGTGTGGACATCATTTTTTATTTGATATTTCCTGCAACTCTTAGGGAGACAGTCATCCTGGTTTTCATAATACAAACATCTGTTTTCTAATTCAGTGACAGTTTTCACCCTGTTTCGTTAAGGAAAATATTAGGGGCTTCCCTGGTGGCCCAGTGGTTGAGAGTACGCCTGCCGATGCAGGGGACGCGGGTTCGTGCCCCGGTCCGGGAAGATCCCACATGCCGCGGAGCGGCTGGGCCCGTGAGCCTTGGCCGCTGAGCCTGCGCGTCCGGAGCCTGTGCTCCGCAACGGGAGAGGCCACAGCAGTGAGAGGTCCGCGTACCGCAAAAAATATATATATATTAGGCTGTGTATATGTTCTCCTAGAGTAGGCTGGGGCATAGTCACAATCTTCAGCTTTAACTGCAAATTTGGTAAAATAATGGATGTGCAAGAGGCACCTCTTGTCTCCGGGGGTTCATCTGCATGTAGCAATTCCTCTCTGTCTCCACAATCTATTGAATTAGAAGAGTTTTGCAAATGTCAAAAAGCATGTTTAAACACCAACTTATTAATGGTATTCCTACTGAAGTTTAGATAAAGATTCAGAGTTCTTGGCTACAAGCAACAGAAATTAACTATTGCCTTTACATAACTCACTCGTGAATCAAAGTCCCTAGAGAGAGAACTCCATTGACTGGTTAAGTCATGTGCCAGCCCACATGGTGGGGGCAGGGAGGCTCCTAATGCTTTGGCTCCCAAGTGAAAGAGAGTCACCTAAAATTATCCTCTCAAGCAAGACTATACTCAAGATAATTTCCCAATACAAAAATCAGAGTGCTACTAACAAAAGGGGACCTAACCTTGTCAGTAAAGCAGGCAAGGTATGTATGTGTGTATATGTGTATATATATATATATATATATACACACATATATATATTTAGTTATATATATTTATATGAAAGACAAAGATATATTTTGTTTATATATTAAACACATAGTAATATTTCTCTTCTACAAGGAATATATATATATTCTCAGTTTCCTTGAAGAATTTGGTCTTCTATCTTTCCTTGCTCACTTTTGATAGAGACATAGAGCAAAGGTTCTGTCCTATAAGAAACACCATAGTGCCAACGTGATGATCACTGGCAACTGATACTCATCTTTGATGTGGGGATAATAGAGAATGGTAGGGACTGTGGCAAACAGTAGAATATAAGCTCTGTCTACAGGAGTCAGTTGCTAATTATACTGGATATCTCCTGCTTGGCCCTCGAGATCCCCCCTCCAATGCTTTCCACCCTGCTCTGTGCCCCTCAGGACTACACTTTATGGGCTGACTCAAGAGGCTCCCTTGACTTATAGCTTCCGGGTTCATTTGGCCATTGAGGAGCACTACCAGACACAGACAGAGAGTGAGGTTTGGATATTTATTCGTCTGGCTTCCTCCCTGAGGCATTGTCATGAGCTAGCTGTGTCCTTCACCCAAAGTCACAGCTCTGCCAGACAGCCTTCTCCATTGTGCTGCCTCTCTGGTTCCAATGCTTCTCCCTCTGCTTCCTCTGAGATTGCAATCGCTCCCTGAGGTTATACCGGTTCCAGGCTGCTGCTCTTTACACTGTGGTTTCCCAACACACTGTCCACACATGTGTAATCAATCTCTTTATTAAGCCTTCCTCAAATTCCCCAGTTTGAGTTTGCCATTTGTTTCCCACTTAGGCCCTACCGATATATGACTCAAATCTGATGGATTATGGGCCTGGTGTCGGTAGAGTCTCCAATTTTTCAAAAGAAGCGATATCAAGGTTTATATATATAATTCCTACTTTTTTTTTTTTTACTGCTGATTCAAGTTTTCTTAAAAGCACTATTCAGACCAAACAGTTTATCCTAATTATTATCCCAAATTATTATGGGCCAGATTTGACCCATGGGGTCCATCTGTAACGTCAGCCATTTATGATGGGAAATAGATGTAGCACAGGCCACTCTATAGCTATCCAACTTGCCAATAATGAGGGGCCTTTTTGTGTGAGTGAGTGGTGGACAAAATTTATTTAGTGTCTATAACAACCAGATTAGATTATTAAACTTCCTTTTTTTTTTCAATATGGATCACAGAGGCTTGCTCTTCCTTCCTTCCTTTCTTCCTTCCTTCCTTCCTTTCTTTCTTTCTTTCTTTCTTTTTCTTCTCTAGTCATTCTATTGGTCTGTCTTCAAATTCCTTTCTTTTTTAGTGTCCAATATGTCATCATCTAATGGAGTTTTACAATTTTAATATTGTATTTTTCATTTCTAGAATTTTCACTTGGTTCTTTAATCTTTAATCTTCACTTTAATCTTTCTTTCCTCTATTCAGTGAGACTACTGTTCTCTATTTGGTTTCCACAGCTTTGTGTTTTATTTTGAAAGGTGTCCTCAGGCAAAAAGCCAGAGAGAATGTTGAGTTCACCCTATTTGTTTCTTATATCTCAAGGTCATGATCCACACTATCTATTGTCCAATGCCTAAAAACGGTCGTTCATATATTTTGTCTAGATTAATAGTTGTTTATTGTGGGAAAGTAAATCCAATACCTATTCTCCATCATGGATGGAATCAGAAATTGTTCATTAAAAAAAAATTAACTATCTATTTATCTATCTATCAAGATATCTTTTTATATTCTGCTTCTGATCATGATATCTGAAGTCCATGAGCTATAATTCTGCTGATTTTTATTTCTATTGATTCTTACTCATGGTGAATTTTTCCTATGAGTTTAATGATCTTTGACCATGAACTTTTATTTGTTTGATCTTAAATGTGTAGAGCCCAGGAGTTATGTAGTGGGTATTTTTCTCCAGAAAGGATTTGTAATTGCTAATTCTGGAAGCCAGGGGGCACTACCAACCTGGGTCCACTTCGGTCCACTTCTAGGATACTGGGTTTAACGCAGAAGTGTCATGTTCTGCTTTTCTACCTTCTGGTAGTTGCTTAACCTTCAAAGCCCAGGTATACTATTGGCATTTGCCCTCTAGATAGCTGGGCTTTTCCAGTTTTCTATTTGTTCAGTGTTGTTCTAATTTTAGTACAGTGTTAGGTTTTTGGTTTTTGGTGGAGAAGTTTTGGAGATTTATTTTAGCCAAAAAAAAAAAAGAAAAGAAAAGATAGAATAAATTAAGCTATTGATATTTATTATACAGATTAGCAATCAACCTGTCATTTGATTAGTAGGTTATATTGGCATGAGTCATGTAAGGTATCCTGAGGGAAAACTGGGGGTTCTGCAACTCAGGGGAACTCACAACACTCGCCTAGGAAGTCTTTTCACTTGGGCATATGTCCATATATCACATCCAGATAATTGGATTTAAGGAGTATATTTTAAACTATCTTTAACAAAGTGGATACATGGTTTATAAAGAATCTTGCAAAGGAACTATGTGTATGTAACACAAAGAATGAAAGCACAAGCACAAGATTTTAAAATATGAAAGATCAGATATTCTTATTCCTGATATTAGCACTTTAACAACATCATTACAAGAAAAAAGCAATGATAATGTAATCAGATGTCACGATGTCAGCCAACATTTAAAAATATTGAAATTATTAAGATTATGTGAAATATAAATTTATGCACATTATCCTTTAATATTATTTAACTCTAAGTGTATACTGTTCCTTAGGATGTTAGCTAATGATAGTATAAAGCTATCTGATTAGCAAAATATTTAAAAATATTATGCAGATAATTGAAGATATTATGAAAATAATTGTTTCCTGTAATGTTAGAAGCCATGCAGTATTGAATTCATTGCTTTGCAGAAAGACCCTTCTTTTTGTCAACAAAGAGGTCCATACCAGTGGGGAATATAGTGGCATTTCCTGCTATGGTAAAAAAAAAAATAGCTTAGAAAACACACAAAGAAAACAATTTGTTGACAAAACTAAAATGCAGTCCCATTGATCAACCAAAACAGAAAAAGGAAAAGAAAAAACAAACAAACTGAAGACTTGAAGAAAAAGGTACTTGAACAAATAGGCATTATGGAAGCTTTTCAGTGCAGTTGGATGGAAGCATAGATGTTTTTACACGTCTCAGTTTATGGTGTTTGCTAAATTCTGTTCAGTGGTAAAATACACTAATAACTACTCTTTTTCTGCACGATCAAAGTAAAGGTGTATCAAAGAATATATATTCTTATCAGTAAACAACTTCCTTAATAAAAACAATGTTTTATGAAAAAAATCAACAAAGCAGTTGTTATAAATGATAATTTAAAAGGGATTCACAGAAGAATAGAAAAATGCAGTTTAGTTTTCACACACTTTGAAATGAGGAGTGACTATGAAAATCTTTTGTACCATGCAGATGTCTGATATTTATTTAGTGCCAAACTGTTTTTCATGATGGCTGATGATTTCCAGTAGCACTGTATCTTAACAGAAATTTTAAAAAAATATTAAATCTAAACTTTCCCTTCAAGGTAAATATAACAATAGCTAAGAAAGTTATTAATTTTCAGAGAGATTTGTGCTAGGAAGAGAGCATTTAGATAATAGGCATTTGGAAACACTTCCATAGTTTTGTGGGGTTTTTTCTGAAAACAAAAATATAAATGTGTCATCTACATAAAGTTTTATATCTACACTTAAAAATCATGGAAACAGAGTTTCTAACATGAGTTAGATTAAGTTTCTTAAGTTTCTTAAGTTAGATTAGATTAACAGAGTTTCAGATTAAGAGTTTCAAAACCATTTTGAGATCATTTGCTAAACATTTCTAAATGTTATGCCTTCCAGTTTGCTATGAAAATGAATTGACACTAGGGAAGATGGACATTTAGTAGCCAAATTACATTAAAAAAATTTTTTTGAATGGATGGAGTTTGGATGGATTTGAAAAATGAGTGTTATGATTTAGAAACTGCAGCCAACAGAGTAATTCTTCCACTTTTAACTTTGTATTTTGTGATTCCAGCCACTAAAACTCAATATCCAAATAAACTCTTAGAATTGGACTTTTGAATTGCTGTACCACAAAGATTTTAACAACAGATTTTTTAAATAATGAAGTATATTCAGCTCCTTTGCTTTTGTTTTTGCCACTAGTAAAGCAACATAAAAAATTACTTTGAACCATTTTAATTTCATCTTTATGTTTTATATTCTAGTAAATAAGAAAGTTAATACACATGTATTGGAGTATGTGCACAAATGCACTTTTTAAATGATTTGTTTGTTTATACATAAATTTTGATAGGTCCACTGCTTAACAAATTATTATAATCAAATGTTTATAATTGTGGTTTAGGGTAGCCAACAAAATTTCTCTAAAACAGTTTTCCTTAAAAAATTTTTTCACAAGTAAAAATTTGTTTTAGAACAATTAAAATGAGAAAAAAAAAAGATAAAATCACTCAAATTTCTACCAACCAGAGATAATCACTGTTGAAATTTTAGTGCATACCCTTCCAGATTTTATGAATTTGTGCATCTTCTTTCACAAACATATGCTTATACTTCATTTAAAGCTGTTTTCATTGAGGGCCTTTATATCTTACAGAATTTTTAAAAATTAAATTTACACGAGATTTTGGGACAGAGATTAAAATTTAAAGGAACAATACTAAGAGGCAACTTTGTGCTGTGACCAAGGCTGAATCTTCATAATTAACCCTGTGTAGGATTATAATATCTGTTTAATTTAGTCTATTGCCTGTCATTTTAATGGCCTTTATCTAGATGTTAAATGTGTGGTTTAACTAAGAAGAGAAATTACCAAAAAATAGACTGACCAAATGTTGTGGTCTTTGACTTGCTTTATCTTCGTATGGCCTATGTAATAAGGCAGATAGATAAAGGGAACAAAGATTTTGGCAAGGCTTTGTTTCTCTTCAATGTTATCACTATATCTGAAACATATAATTTGGTGTATAAACTAGAATTATTAACTGTATGTAATTGGATAGGGAATAGAACCCAGAGTGACTATCAATGAAGTCATTGTATCTTCCAAAACAAGCAGTTATCTTTTAGAGGTGTGGTCCTGGACCTAATCTCATATAACACTTTTTATCAATGACTAATACTATGAGAAAAAACAGTCACTCACACAGTAAATGAAACTTAATTGGGAAATGAAAACTAAGAAGAGGAAGTCACATTCTCAATGACCAGATTAGAACCAAAATGACCTGGAAAATTGGAGAAGTAGTAAGAAGTAAACAAAATGAGTAAGACAGAGGAGTGGGCTAAAATAAACAGGGAAGAAAAACAAGTTTCAAAAAGAGGAATGGCTAGCTATTGGCAAGTTTAGAAAATAACTTAGAGATTTTAACAACAAGCTGACTAAGATCGATAATGTAGTGTTATGGTTTAAAAAGCAAACATAACATTGTAAAATGTGTTCCTTACTAAAATTTACCGAAACTCCTGCTTCCTAGTTGAAAGTCTTTTGCAAACACTAAGAACGTGTTCTTTTTACCAGAAATGCCATTCGCCTTAAGAACAAACATGGAGATCACAGCCAGTCAAATGACTGGGATAGTAACAGAGGAAAAAAATAGTTTCACTGTAAGATGTAAGTCTTGGAGAAAGATGATTTTTTTTCTCCTGAAAGAGATGGAGTAATTGAATAATGATCTTTAAATAGGAGCATATAGTTATAAAGATGAAAGACTATTAGATTCAGGCTCTCATGTACCCTAAGTACTTTAAAAGTGGATCGGTTGTTCTCAGTTTTCACGAAGACTGAAAAAGAAAATGAAGTTAAATTGTACTGGGAAAGGGTTAATTCAGAATAGATAGGAATTTCAGAAATAGGGTAAAAGGGGTTGGTTGAAAATTGAAACCATTCTAAGAATCTGGTAGAATTTTCATTGACAGATTTTCTACTTTTCTAAAATGGTGAAATGTGATACATGAAGAGATGAAATACAAAAATTTAATGTCCTATCCAGACCTCAAGCTTTGTGATTTTTGCCTTAGGCTGTAACTGCTTGGTAATGTCAGAGGACATTTTTAAAAAGCACTCTAATTGTGTTGCCTCCTTGAATCTAAGAGCAGTATCAGCAGCAGATACTGATTGCAGCTCTCCTAAGAAAAGGACCTGGAATATACAGAGAACAGTATCCTAAGGAAGCAGTGTTCCTCTTTTATTTTCTTGATGATGCTACCCTATGCTGCTTTTAGTTTTCTCGTTAAAGTTTTTACTTATTTTACAATTGATATGTATTAATTATAGGACGTTTTAAAAGTACAGACAAACGAGAACAAAAACTGTATGTGTAATTCCACAATTTAAGGAGAAAAAACAAGTTAACATTTTGAGGTACATCTCAGATTTTTCTCTCCATACATAGACATGTAAGATATTTTATAAAGTTATACTTTTAATTTATTATGTACTTTAAGTGTTTATAAAAAAAGGGAACTTTGTAATTTCTTGCTTGATTTAATATCATGAACAGTATTTCCTATAAACTAGACCTGCATCGTCATTTTTAATGGCTGCAATAATTTGCATAATCCCTACTTTGGTTATTTAAGTGTTTCCAATTGTTCCCTATTTTTAACGACTGCAATTGATATCTCCAAATAACTTTTTTTTTTTTTTAAACAGCAGAAAGAACATTGAAACAAAGAAGGAATCCAGGGCATTTACTCAGCTACCTCATTATTTATTGAACACTTATTTATGCTGGGCACTGCATTAACTAGTAGCCGGGATGAGACAGGTTAAGGCAAGATCTCCACTGTTAATTAACCTCCAGTCTCATGGAATATAGAAAGACAAGTGTTGAGGAACAGGAGGCGACAAAACGCTCACCCCTCTCTTCAAAGTTAATCTAGTTTAAGAGAAAGTTGCTGGGTCAGGGGCCAGGTGTATATATATTGATTAAAGTCTCTACACTTAATACTTGTTAGGTTCATCTATAAAAAATATTAATCCACAACATCCACATTGCCCATTGTTTCAGGAGCTACACAGAGGGGAAAACCCAGACAGAGGCTGTAGCAGCTTCTCTTTCCAGGCAGAGAGGAAACCCTCTCCTCGGGCCTCCAGGCCCCCGCGCGTGCGCGGGAACAATCCCACCCACCGCCAGGGACCACCACCCGGCACTCCCGACTTTTCACCCCGTTCTCGGGTCCTACTACAAGCGGTCAAAAGCAAAACTTCCACCCGACTACTTCCACTTAGAGAGGCCAGCCTGGCTGAGTGTGGCTTTGAAGATCAAGTGCAAGGCTGCTTAGCACGGTGGTCAGTGAGGCTGGAAAATAAACTTTGTTACGTGTTAACTTGGTTGGAGCAAAGCGACTCTAGGCAGGATTTAGTTACGTTACAACTGCGCAGTGTTTTGTATTTTTGTTGTTGTTGTTTTAATAAAATCGTTTTAATTGACGAATAAGGAAGGAGGGCTATCTCAGGACTTGAAAACAATCATGCAGGATGGTTTCAGCAGGTGACCAGCCAGGCGCATGAAGGCCTCCTCCCACTTCGTGTCGGTTTTGACTACGGTTTCCGCGGCGGCTGGAGGGGAAGCATCCTCCACGCTGCAAACTCGCATCAATGGGATTCCCCTCGTGGGAAATGCCCCCTCCTGGCGGACGTGCTCCCGGAGGGCCGAGCGCGTCGCCGCGCCCTCCGCCTCCGGGACGGGCGGGCGCGCGCGCGCTCCGCAGACTCTATCAAGATCCCGACTTGGCGCCGCACTCCCTCCGCGCCCCGGGCTAAGCCGGCACCACCCGCCGCCCGCCGCCAGCCGCCGCGGGGGGCGGGCGCGGCGCGAGGGGAGGGGAAGGGGTTCTCGCGCGATTGGGCGAGGTTTCCGGTGTTGTGACTGAAACCCGTCAATATGGCGGCGGTCGGCCGCGGCCGCTCGCTGAAGAACCTCCGAATACGAGGTAAGTCCGCTGCGGCCCTCACCCCTCGCCGCCGGGCAACCGCCACCCCTGGCACTTGCCTACCCTTGGTCATGGGCGGGGGGAACGAGCTGGGGCGCTGGCCGGAGCCAGGGCTGCCTCCGCTGGCCTGGGAGCGAATCCTAATTGGGGCTATGTGTCTGTTTCGCGCAGGTCGGAATGACAGCGGCGAGGAGAACGTCCCGCTGGATCTGACCCGAGGTAACGCGGGGCGCCGCGGGCGCCGGCGAGGGCATCCTAGTGGGGAGGAGCCGGGGGCTCGGGGCCGTGGGCAGGGTCCGGCCCCGCACGGGACCCGCGGGGGTGCGGGAGGCAGAGCCCGAGCCCCGCCTGCCGGCCCGCGGGAGCCGAGCCGGGGGCAGTCTCCCCGGACCCATCCCCCTTCCCGGTGCCCGCTTTCCTCGCTCCGAGCCCTTCTCCGGGCCTCTGGGTGCTGCGGGGAGCACCGAGCGGGACTCGGTGGAGTCGCCGACCCTCTGGGTTCTCTAGACCCGCGGGGGAGCGTTGTTCTCCTGTCCCGGAGCTCGAGCAGCTGAATCCCAGGGACGGCCGGAGGGAGGTAGAGGCTGTTATTTAGGTTGCCGGAGGACGTCTGAGGGAAGAGCGACCACATCCTGCCCTCCCCGTCCCCCAGCGCCGAAGCCGGACCTGCTCGGTCCTTGCTGACTGCGTGACTGTTTTTCTCTTTGCCCACTGCCCTGGGGGACCCGCAGCACTGATAACTCGGTAGTGAAACCTGGAGCCCGTGATTTCTGCGAAGTGTCTGGTGTACGCTGTATTTCCCTCTTGTTTCCCTTTCCCGGGCCTCTGAGACTGTAGTTGGCAAAAACCGGCCCCTCACCCTCGTTGCAGGTTCATTGTTTACCTTCTGCAGTGGCGATGGGTTTGTTTACACCTTCGGAACTGGGTAAACCCCTGCTATATTTTTAAGGACCCCCGCCGGCTACTGGCCAGTATATCTTCTATCAGTCACCGTACTGGAGTTTATTCGACAATATCTCGTTGAGCGTTTAGTAGTTATATACAAGGTTTCTCTTTTCTCTTCCACGGTAAACAAGATTTGGTCTATTGATTCCGAAGAAGTCGTGTTTCACACGGGCTGTAACTTAGCGTGTAACCTGGTTCAGCTGTATAGAATTCAGTTTCCTTTTTGAGATCTGAAAAGCACTTTAGGAAGTTTGAAAAAACGTCGTTTTAAACATTCTGTATAAAATTAAAAAAATTTTTTTAACCTACGTTCTACTTAACATAATGACTATTATCTACAGTATTTGTTAGATGTGGGCTCATTGTTGAGGATCATCTCTGTAGTTAAAGCATAGCGCATTCTCTAATTTGTTTTATTTTGTGTATCATAATGTAAGATTACTGTTTTGTAAACTAAAAGCCTAGTTTTTATTTAGCTACAAGAGTACACTTTTGTAACAATATTTTATTCTGAAAGTTCTAGGACTTTGATTCGGGTGAACTAGGTCCTTTTACAGGTAGAAGAGTTTCTAAAATAAAATAGGGCTTAAGTAATAGAAATGACAACTAATTAGATCACTAATGCACTAAATTAGAACATTTTTTCAGCAGATAGGGTTTGAATATTAATGTAGGGAGATGTAAAACTTTTGACTTGTGTACTGGAAACTTGACTGTGTATAACACACATATGAAAAGTCTATATGCAATATATGTGGAAAAAGATTTTCTAGTAAATTTGCTAATAAAATAAGCAAAATTCCCACAGGGCTCAATTTAGCATTTGAGTTTTGTAACAGATGTAGTTTTAGTGATTTATTTTATACATGCGCATATGTTTTAGATGGAGGTGAAAAGACCATTTATTAGATAGATCTTGGGTCTAATTTGTGTATTGAAGACCTGTTTGAATGTGGTGCTAGAAATAAGTTATAGTTGTGCTTTAAATTGACTTTACTGAGCTCCTATATATAGTGGTTTCTCTGGTTGGTGTCAAAATTATGGGTAGTAAAAGAGCTTATGTACAAATTTGATACCTTTGGTTTACTCCAGTTTTACTCAAGTACACAGATAACTGTATATTTACTATTTAAAATACTATATTTCCTGAGAATTCAGTAAATACCTATGTCCTTAGGTGTTTCTGGGATAATACAAATAGTGCAGAAAATGCTATTTCTGCTTGCCCTGACAAGATGTATTTCAGTTTGGAATGAAATATACACAGCCAGTTGAATCTGATTGCAAAAGCAATATACAACTAGGAGTGAGAGGGCATTTGAGAACTGTGTTGCAGAGTCTTAAGGAAGTTTTGAAAAAGTAATCTGAGTTAGATTCATTGTATAGTGACTCTGTTGTTTGAGAAATTGCTATTCTGCCAAACATTCATTGTTAGAAGAAGGCTTGTGGATCTAACATGAAGAAAGTTCATGAGGAATTAAACTTTAGTAATCATTTGAGAACTGTGGGGCAGTCTGGGTTGCAGCTGAAGGGCAGCTGTTTGTGGATTGGATTACGGCATGTTTTAGATAAAGTTTGGGTAACCAAAAAATTTTTTTTAACGCTAAGGCAGTGTTTGCTCTCATTCTCATTATTTTTATGTAACCTTTGAGAAATTCACTGTGTAGCTGTATAACAAAGTTCATTATAAAATAGAGGCCATGATCATTGTAATTCTTGAAGGAGCTATCAATGTGTAGTATAAAGTCAAATAGTTCTGAGTTGTAATCTCAGCTGTGATACATAATAGGTGATTTGGGGCAGGTTATTTGACCTTGATTAACTCTTGGTTTCTTCAGCTCAAAAAAAAAAAAGAGATTAATTTCAGGTTATTCTTGAAGGTTGTTAAGAATGTGATAAGTAAATGAGCTAGGCCATATAGTACTCAGCGTGGGACCTAGTACTTTGTGAGTGATGTTAACTAAATGTTAGTTGCTTTCCTAAACTATGAAATCAAAATTATTTATATCACATTTAAAATATTTCAGATGATTGTTTTGAATATTATAAACTTGTTAATAAGGAATTATGGTAGTGAAGCTTTCTTTTTTTGAGACATACAGTTAATTGGGTATATAGTCTTTCTGAACTAGAGTTCTTTTTATTTTTTTTAATTTATTAAGAAAAGCTTCAAAATGTATAAAGTATATGTGAATGTATGAATATAATAAATATAAGGAGCTCTTATATGTCCCCCATCATTTAGTTTCCTCGTGCCTCCACCCCAACTGTGATCATTTTTTTCTTCCAGTTTTACTGAGACGTAATTGACATACAGCACTGTATAAGTTCTTGAATGTAACAACTGTAAAAAAAAAAACAAAAAAAACTGTAGCATTACCAGAATTAGACCTAAGCAAGGAACAATCTATTATATGTACTTAAGAAAAAATGTGATATTTTCTTTAACAGAACCTTAGAATTTTTCTCCCAGACTCCAGAAAATTTCTTAGTAATAAGACGTGGCCAGCCTTGCAAGCTTCTTTAAGCCCAGGAGAGGCTTAAGGTTCTTTGGTTTTCATATTGATGTTAGTGCTATGGTTTATACGAAAGTGCTTTAATTAAAAATTGTTTTTGGATTAATTTTGATCTAGTTCAGGAACTTCACTGTAGGAGATCCTGTAGTTGATATACTGGTGATTGTTGCTTTAAGTTTTGTTCAGACAACTACTGTACTTAATCGTGAAAGTCCCTGATACTTGCTATTGGTATCATTAAATACTCTCTCTGTTTTGCATGCCAATTTATTTTGAAACCAAAATGCTTCCCTTAACCACTTCCACTGCAAGGATAGTCTGTTTTTTTTTATCAGTCCACTAGTACATCTCTTCCTGGTACTGAATAACTTGAAGAGAGACAGAATATTCTTCCTGTGTAAGCCCTTCCTAGTATAATTTAATTATTGTGTTCAAGGTGAATTCCAGGGACATGGAAACGTGTATATTCAAATATAACTGTTAGAATATAATTTATTTTTAAGTATTGAGTTTTGTATTTTTTGACTGTCCAATCCTTTTACTTTTCCATTAGTAGGAATAAAAAGATTGACTGTCTTAGCTGCTGTTTAATAGCTAGGAAAGTAGGAAGGTTATCTGAATGATGCAGATTTGAACACTTAACTTTTTGTTTTGTGATTCCTTCTAGTCAAGAGATTGCTCATGTTGTTTAATCCCTTACTTCAGTTAGACAAAACAAACATTGACTGCTTTTTATATAAGAAATGCTGAATTAAGTGCTGGAGGAGTAAAGATGAGGAAGATGTTACTCCCTTTTTAGGAGTTTACTGGAACAGACATAAAGAAGTGATTGCGATACAGAACAATAAACTGAGTAATCAAACTGTACAAGGAACAGAAGTAACCTAGAGGAGAGAATGATTAACTCTGGTGGGTAGAGAATCAGGCAGCTTCACAGAGGGGTTGACGTCTTATAAGAATTGTGGACATAGTGGAAGGAAATGTGGGCTCTCAAGAGAATATACCACACCTTGGGAAAGGTAAAGTCTGTAGGAAGAGGAGCTGCTCTGGAGGCCCCTGGTAGAATCTAAGAGATCATGGGACACTAGACCAGGGTATTGGAGACAGAAATGAAGTTGAATATATATTGGAATGGAGGAACCAACTAATTTGTTTTCTCCAGATTCTAAACTGACTTTGGAATCCTCGTACTCTGCGCAGAGAACTGTTATTTCTTTATTAGGATGACAGAGGCTGTCTAATGTGAATCCCCTTGTCTTCTCCCCTTTGTATTTCACCTGTACTTACCTTCTGTTTTCCTGAGTCGGAGGATAAATCATCTCTGTTCATTTCCAAGGCTAAACTGGAAAGGAATTTTATGCTCCTAATTCTGTTTCCCCTAAGATTCTTTGTAGAACTAAGATTTCTTGCTTCTTCATTTCTTCCTTCTTTTGGCTCAGTTTTCTCGTATTCAGCATTTCTTGTTGTATTCATATGGAGCAGGTACTTTGCTAAGCATGGAATGATGGTGAGACGCGTGGAATGATAAGGACAAAGATTTCAAAACAGTTATTTTTTCGTAGGCTCTACACACAGTTTTCTTCCTTAACTCCTTTAGTCTTGTAAACACAGCTCTCCCCCTGTACTTAAAATAGTTTCTTAAGGGATGCTAGTAACCTCATGCAAAATTCATTGGTATTTTTAAGTTCCCCATTCTATTATTAGGACTACTTACTGTATTAGTAGTTTTGTTCCAGGCACTAAAACATTATTTGTCTT